CACGTAGGAGCTACGACGCTACGTGGTGTTGTATCGTCTGAAAGACGGTTTAAATCAAATCAGCAACTAGATCAAATTGTTGCAGAGTAGGTTTGTAGGCAATGCTATTTATTATGCACCATTCCATTATCACACATTTAAAAGAGAAAAAAATTATATTCCCCACGTTGGACTAACTGACTTTTCTTCTCATCCTGACGGCCCAGTTGGTCTAGCGGTTTGGCACATCGCTTTACTTCCGATAGTTCCAGGGTCGATTCCTCGTACGCTGCAAATATTTGTATTCATAAGTATGACTGTTTGTCTCAGTCTGGGTGTTTTCTATGTATATTATGTATTTATTTATAAAAAAATACATAACTATTTATATCAGTTGTCTAGCACCCATAACACAAGCTCTGCTTACCGTGGAATTAATTATTCTGAATTAATTATACGCTGTGTTAATTGTCTAGGGTTATTTATTTATTTATTAATCTCATGCTATCATTAGCTAGTGTGGTGCTCCCACTCCATCACCATCCATAAAAAAACTTCTGTATTAACTCAATACATTTCAAATTAGCATATCTGCCATAACCAAACAAAATGAGTCGTCAAACATAATAGCCTCGTAATAACTGAATGGCTGCGTAATTGTATCTTTGAACGAAAAATCAACCCCTAATACTGGGGTTTTTCGACCCTCGCTAGTGATTTATTAAAGAAAGCTTTTAAACCCTTGCGGTCGGCATTGTTGTAGATTTCTTGTATTACGCTATGGATCATTATGCCCGGATTCAGTCTGATACTTCAGTGGTTGGTTTGTCTTTGGTTTTATTGTTTAATGATCTTTATATTATGTTCCATAGAGTTAAAGAATAATTGTTTAAAGTTATTTTAATAAGGATGTTATCATTTTTAGACCCGTGCTAGGAGATATCCTAAGAGAGATACTCATATAAATATCTGTTATACTAAAAATGATAACATCCAAACTCGCAGACTACGTCAACAAAAACACTATTTTATCTATAGACAGGAATTTTATATATTGTTAATTATGTATATTATTTTTTAAATATGTTTTCAATGCACAATAAATTGACGTAGACATTGTTTAACCCCTAGATTTATTTCAATTAAAGTGCCCACGGGTGATCACCAGGTCCCAACGTGTAAATTTACTTTCATTGCGGAGTGACCCACCTGTGGGCATGCAGTCTTTAATGTGTTAACCGATAGTAAACAAACCAATAATAGATGTTAATAAAAATATGATAACATACTTTGTATAGTCAAAATTAAATAGTATAATATAATTTTGCTATTATTAAGTATGGTTTAGAAAAATCAATGGATCTTTTATGGGAATGGATATAAAAAATTACAATAAGATACCAAAGGATATATTAGAATTACCGTTAAATAAATTCAAAACAGTTGATTATTTGAATGACAAATGTGGATGGCAATAATAGTTTATCATACGGGATTTTCACTTATGAAGACAACTACATAAGTTGTTGTTGTTGTACATGTAGTTGTCTATGTCTGATCCTTTAGTGCGTAATAGGCTCATAAGTACGAAAAGTAAATTTATTGCCTTTTTAAAAAGAAATACAACTGAATTTCTTGCCAGTACTTCTCAGTTGAATCTGTATACTAAACTGGACGGTATGGAAAAAAAATTGACGTTAATAAGCGGCTTACATAAATAAATTATTTTTGATTCAATTTCCATAACTACTTAAAATGTGACTGCTAGCGCCATCTGTTGAATACAGTCAGAACTCCGCGGCCAGTTTACCTGTCGTAGCATCACAATTTGTTAGCACTTGCTATCTGCTACGATTTTTTTAAGTAGGTACAACAGATATGGTAGAGATGCTTAAACCACCGATGTAAATAAAAAAAATATAGATCCAACAAATAAAACTGATTCATTGCCTTTTTTAATATCAACACACAAATATAAATATCATTGAAGTGATGTGTTTTTCTCTTTCTCTTTGTAATATAATATTTATTTTTTCTCAAAATTTACGATTCAATTATGAATGTTTTACAAATCAAAATCACATTTTATTAGTAGGTACTTTTTTATATATTTTATTTTATTTCAATTGTTACAAAGTTTGAAAAAAAATATAATATAAATAATTTGACGTTCATAAGCAGCTATACTGTCCTACATGATTAAATGATATTTTAATTTGAATTTCAATATAAGTTACATTAGTCTCAACATAACATTATGTCACTGGTGTCCTTAGTAGGCTATTATAATAGACTGTATTTGGAATGTATATTATTATTTGTTATTGGTATTATTTATATATACTATTAACTATATATTTCATTTGGAGGTATTAAATTTAATTCACAGTAACTGAAATGTGAATTTATTTAGTTATTGACGCTCTATGTGCTTATAATAACTATATCATATTATGTTATCTGTAACAACTAGAGTGTGCTTAATAACTTAGATTTTAAATCTTGACAACCACACTCAGACTCGGATTTGACAGGTGGCTAATTCAGGTATGTATGTGCAAATAAAAAGGATGTTGACATTTGTAGGGTCCTAAAACTATGGATTTCTTAAATTAAATGCTAAATGGACTGTAAACTTTACATAATTGACTATGTATTACAGAAGCGAATTAATAATACAAAAGTGAGCACGCGAGTTGTATTTGGGGGTAAGATCAGAAGTGTGGGCAGGCCGGTGCGGTGCTATTTGCACCCCCCTCGGGCCGCGCCCCGCAGCACTGTTCGCGGACTCCAGTCGCGCTAGCCGACGATATCCAAAAACAGTCTGCCAGGGTTGATGAATTTAATTAAGAGGTAGAGAGCGAGAGATTGTTGAACACTCTCAACAAAGTCCCTTTATTCGCCTTCAGTTCAACAAATCTTGTGACTCCATCGCTGACACGGTAATTTTGATGACGCGTCCCAACGGCCAGAGTAGAAGCGGCTGTCCCTCCTCCTTAATGAGTTGTAGTGTACCCACACTTTTCTTGGTTTATTTTATGAAAAATATTTTTTAACAAAAATGGTACTAAACTTGTACTTGGGCAGGAGAATGAACGGGGGGGGGGGGGGGGGGGGGGGCACACTTTATTATTCTAATTTGTTTATAAGTCTACATAATGGGATAAAGCTTAAAGTCGTATTGCAAAATAATTAAAATTTGGTGCTCTCTACAAGATCCCATAATACAAAATTAAGCTTGCCATAAGAAAAAAATACGCTTTTTCTTGAATGACTGAAAACTGTCTCCTTGACTGATATTTCTTGTCATTCTGTTGGTTCATTCACCTTCAGTCGATTGTATTCATTTTTTAATTTATTGTTGTTCTTTGCACACACATTATTCTTACGTGTTTGTTGTTTTTATTAAATTTTATTTGTTACGTTTTATATATATTACAGTCTTAGTTCTTATAGGATCTACTAGATAGCGCCACTACATACAACGCGATAACCATAAGGAAGCCACTCTTTTCCTTTGATATGCCTATTTAAAAAAAAACTTTCTACTTTACTCTTTGAGAATGACGAACACTTTGTATTGCACAGATGAGTTTACAGAGATCAGATGCATGACAGCCACAGAGTAATACTTAAACAGTTATCAGTTTTCTCGTTCTATGAATATTGTAATATTGTTATTATTAAATTTGTTATATTGTAATTGTTACTTTCTAATTTAGAAAGTAACAACATATGTAATATTATGTTATCTATGGTAATACTATACTGTTGGATAGGGAAAAATCTTCAATCCAACAATCCCCCGCCCAATTCATACGCGGATTGAAACTACGACGGCCTTAGTTTGAGGCCCTAGCGGTGCCCTCAGATTAAAGTCGTATCCGTCTGGTCGTCTCAACTGCCTCGAACAAAAAGATGTGCAATTTTGTGGAGTGTAATTTAAAAGAGATATAAAAATTAATCACCGCTTCTTCGACGTATCATTTCTGAAACTTCCCAATAATAAGGGTATATTATGTAGTCACAAGGTTACCTACTGAACCTAACGACCTGTTAGTCGGTATAAAGTTAGGCAATCTAAGTTTTTACAATTCTTTCATTCAAGTTCTTTCGACTTATGCTTGATTTTGATGAATACCAAATAAGGGAAGATAATAAAAAAATGGTTGAAATGTATATGCATCAGACATAGGATTTAGCCCAGCAATGCATGGCGCGATTAATCATTTATAAATCGATATTATCTATACAAAATTAACAAAACTGAAATGTCTGTTGGTAATTTCATATCATACGATTTTCAGTAGGTGCATTTGAAAGTTATACACATATGGAACTCACATCGTAAATATCTTTGTTTTATCGAAATCGGTACAGCCGTTTATAGAGATATACAAAAACGAACAGATGTTTATTCAAAATTTTCTAGGAGCAATAATTCATATTATTTAAATATATTAAAGAATTCTCATCTTATTGCAAATAATATTTTTTTAAATACTTTACAGCGGGTTGGTATAACGAGCCTAATGAACTAACCATCCTAACATCATGGACATTATATCGATAGACTTAGTTGAAATAAAAATATATGAGAGTTTATAATTTATTTTATTATTTTGCCTTAGTAAATAAAGTTACTTTTATTTTACAAAGTATACACCTGTGCCCTAATTTTATCTGTGATGATTAACTATTGTTGGTCTGTGGTAGCTTAAAAAAAATTGCATCACTTGTGGTGCCATCTATTGCTACATTAGTTGCAATTTCATCTGTCGATAAAACAGCGTAGTATGCGCAGACTTTGACTATTTAATTATTTTAATATTGAGATTTTGTTTACCATAATCAATTAAGACATTTTTTATATTACCATAAATATTATTAAAACATTATATACTAACATTTTTTCATATATAAACAAAATACAATTATTTATTCATAATTACCGCCATAGTGAGGCGGCGTTTCTACCATTTTGCGAACCCCGCCACAGGAAGTGAGTGTTGTAGGTGCTACGCAGGCGCAAATTGACCTTTCGGTTGAAGAACCCGTCGGTCACATGTGAGTGTCGATAAATATCTTAATATTATCGTGAGACCCTTTTATACAGTTCATATTACCTTTTTCGTAAGTATTTTCAATGGTGATTATTTTTATGTGAAAATATACCTATACTGTAGTGTGGATAGTGTATAAATAATACTATATATTGTTCCGCGGCGCCGGCACGTTTGACAAATTGCTATTTTTCTAGCAATAGTACCACAAATAGGTAATACAATTAAACCAATTTTGCGTTCTCCCAATGTTATTTGAACAATTTTTGAATTTGATGAGATAAAAAATAATTTGCGATTCTTCGTGTGTTTTTCATAGTCATGTACAAAATGTCCTTTTTCGAACCCACATGTCCGTACACCACACGTTTACAGTGTGATCATTGTCACCTCGTGTCAAATTTGAGTTGCGATTATTATCATGTAACAAATATCACATTGTACAAGTCATCGGTGTAAGCTATATTATATTAGTTATATAGTCTTCTTTGTAGTAGCACACAAAGGGTTGTCAGATATACCATAGATAGGTGGGGTTAGGTTGTGAAAATTCTAAAACATATGCATAGTTATAAATACATGCTGGCGACACCATCGTTTGTTGGAGATCTAAGTGTATAATATTTACATGTGAGTATGACTTAACATATTTACTGATGAATAATGTCAGTTTAAATATCCTTTTTTTTTCATATTTCATGCAAGTGTAGAAAAAGCAAGGGGCTTTTTCTTAGTTCACTGTTCGTGGATGATTATTACTATAGGTAGTGTGGTTATGTTAATTTTCCTTTATTGAATCTTCAGTCATGTATTTATGAATATATACTAGTGATATCAACTAAGTATGGTATTAAAATGTGGTGATTTACAATGACCCAGAAAAAATAGAAAGTAACAGATATCCCTCATTATCAATTTAAAAATGAAGAAATGATGAGTGCTGAGCTGTATTGTCAACATATTAGCTGTCCTTCTAAAGTAGGTTATATGATATTGATTTTAGGAAACTAACAGATGTTATATAGACTTATGGTGTATCTTTTCATGCTCATTACTTTGTATTTTTCTCATACATTTAACAGTGGTATAATCATTTGTTTTATGTATATTTAGATTTATTAGCAAAAGCAAATGCTTTTCTATAATAGCAAAGAATGTCACGATTCATTGTCTAGTAGAGACTGCGAGATGCATAGCAAGAAACAGTGATTTTACATTATTCTAACATACATTTTTATTCCAATATATGTATGGATGAGGTCAATACAAATTACTTCTTTTGGATTTTGCAAAAAATTATAGATTGTTTTTAATTCTATGGAATTGTGTGTATTTTAGGTTATGTTCGGTGGTACCACCCAAAATGTACTTACTTAGTAGGTTCTATTTAAAGTTAAATTTCTTTTGCCAAGCTTTTAATTTATTTATTTCTTCTTAATTAATAATTATATATAAGATGATGCAAAATATTTTGGGTGTTTAATATTTTTGACAGTACTTGGACAAAAAATTAAGTTCTAATATTTAGTTACATTAATTGGCAGCAAGTAAATTCAATTATATTACACTTAATTACTGCACAGACAAAGGCTAAATACAGAGAATACAGTTGATTAAGTACAAGACTATCACTACATAAGAGACATGTAAATTTAATTATATTACACATTAATACACATACAAATGCACAGACGAAAGGCTAAATGTGGAGAATAGTCCAAATTTCATTACAGGCCATTTATTGACTGAAACAATGTCTTGACAGTTCTTTTTTTAAAAAATAGGTTTTCTTAACAAAAGAACACTGTCAAGTTTGCTTTTAGACTTTGACTAGCCCATAGAGTCGCAATTGCAATTATAATATTGTTGTTGTGCTGAGGGTACTCGAAAATTATACTTCAGACCTGACTATGCGTCTCCTTGCACCCCTGTGCTAAGAGATCACCGTACAAGGGTACATAATTTTGTAATTACACTGAAAATTTGATTAGATAAAGGATTATGTATTATAGTATTATGTATAATACTACAATGTTGTCTGATAAATTCAATTATCTTTGTTTCTATAGCTATTGCTATGAGAATTTTATGGGAGTACTGCAGGTCAGTACTGCTGTCTAGTTTTTGTTCTATATTTGGAAACAAGCACTGACTTGCTTGGTCAATCCTCTAGTGCTGTGGTTGGCTGACTGTACACATTACATAAATCAGGATTAATTGTTGGGTTGTTCATTTTATAGAATTTGTCTAGTTTTCCTTCAATCTATATTACACATATTTTCAGTAAATCACTGAAAATATGTGTAACATATGATATTTAACACCAAAAATAAATATATATGATACTTACATAAAAATATTAATTAGAAAAAGATTATCTGTCTGTTTGAAATCTAAGCTAATCTCTGAAACGGCGGCTGGACCTATTTTAACGCGACTTTAACTCAGATTAGATTGCTAATGTTATAAATATAACTTAATGTCTAACTTAAACTACTTATATTATTTCAGAAGCTTAAGTTTCCGAATTGAGCAATCGATGTCGCGGGTAACAGCTAGTATCATATAAAACAATTGAATAAACAATTCATATATTTTGTTGATACTTTTGACTTTGCATGGTAACCAGAAGTTACCCTAACATTATCTTAATTATTACGTTTTCTGTTTATCTAATATGTGTAATACAATGTATGGAAAAATTCCATAGAATTTATGTTTTATTGTCTTTGTAAAAAAGCAAATAAAACCATTTTCAGCATAATATAATTATGCTTATTCAATTTATGTTCATTATGAGAGTAGTCTACACTCCACTCCACGTTATTTCAAACAAAGGCGGGGTCAAGTGGTATATATTATGATAAATGTTCATATATTTTTTTCATTGCCCTAATAGGTATTAGAGAAATGAGAGGGTATTCAAAATCGGATTTTATCGAAATATCAATCATTTGCAAACGAAAATCTCTTATAATTGCTCTTATATGATTTCTAAGAAAATGTATTTACATTCATTAATTTTTTTGCCTACTCAAGTACAGAATTATGTCGATACTTTGAAACATTTTCTTATGAGAAAAATACGTAGGTATCATCTATAGGAATTCAAAGAAACTGAATATTCAATTTCTTATTTTTAACCTCCCTACTTAATCTTCAGGAAAAAATCGTATAATGATCTCCGATTCTTACAATTTTGTCTACTCCATTAAACAGAGTGCTCTATAAAAAGATATTATTCTTTTCTATTTGTTTGTATTGAATAAGCTCTGAAAATATTTTATTCATTATAAAAAACTCTTTTAACCAAAGAAATCTACACGGGTTATGACTATTATTGATATTGAGCTACTTTTGCGTGCAAATATAACTCATTTCAAAAAAATTGCCACAGATAAATAACTTTCTAAATTAATGCAAAATATATATTTGACTGCGTGTGCCACTGTATTAAATGATGAAAATTCCTTTTAAGGATAAGGACACGCCCATTAATTACTTGAGGCGATTTTGAAAATTTTTCTAATTTAGGTCGACGCCCTACCTTCTCCCCTGATATTATTAGTACTGGGTACTAGTGGCCCCATTACATTAAGTCGACCGCGCCTAGAAACCATCATGGTCACTTTCTGATAAATTCTCCACGATGGGCTAATTGGCCCAACTTTCAACTCATCTTATTCTCCACTGCTGAGCCGCCAGCGTATATCGTTACCACATACGAGTGTTATTTTCCATACAAAAGTATATTTGATCCAAATGCAATCTTTACATTATTCTTTAATATTTATTAACTAGGTCTTAACACGAATAATTTTATGACAAAGGTATTTTCCTCTCTCGACGTATCGACTAGATTGCACTAGCCGTAGTCATGACCTGACTGGAGTAACAGCGATTTCAATGTAGATAGGTGACAGCAGTTGTTAAGACCCGGTTAATAATAGAAATAATATTCTATCATCGTATAGTATCGAAAAGTAGCAAATTGCACTCATCCTATATTCTACCGCCAGTGCATACCGTGAGCATTATTATTTAGTTATTACCGTGTTATATTTCATACAAAAATATAATAGACTCAAATGCATTGGTTGCACTATTGCACGTCATCCATGTGAACTTGCAGATTCAAGCGCCATTTCAATTTAGTGTCTCCGCCTGCAATTAATCAATACAAATCGGAGCGCATGATCGCAATATTCAGTACGTGCACACTTTCAATCAATGATAGGGCATTGACCTCAAGTCAATAACCTGTGCTAATTTTTTTTACACACTAAATTGTTGTAACACGTTAATGCCAATAGTTTATTTAGATATTCTAAAGATCTAGTGTTCTTTATTTAGTATTTGTGTTCTTTTATTTTATTTACTTAGGTATTTTGGTTGTGATTTTTTTTTATTTATGTATTTCAATACTTTAGACATTTGAGACTTGTTTACGACTCTACGAAAGGAGCTTTTCAATTCGGCTGTATTTTTAATGAATTACTTTATAACTACGTCACTTACATACATATAAACTGATTTGAATTTTTTTAATTACTTTTCGATTAGTACCTTTTTTTTTTTGGGAGGGTTTTTTATATGCGATTGGCAATCTTAAGTTACGACTTGCCTGATACAAAGTCATAACAGTGAAACAACTATTTCTATTTTAAAATAACGCCGTTCCTTACTAATCAATGGTCTGAACATTTTTAGTACTTTGAAAAAATTTGAATTGTGTACTTTTCAATATGTCCAACATTGTGCGATTTTTTTACTATACTGGAATGTAGTCCGTCCTTCATTAATAGTATACGCTTGCGATGTCCTAATGAATAATTAAAGAAATATTATACAGCCTTCTTTGAAAATCAATTCCGATTTATCGACATTAGAATATTCATTACAATAGGCTAATTAAACATTAACAACATATTTGTTTAATACTTAGTGGTAATTTATGAATTATCGGAGACTCTAATTTACTTTTATAAAAGGACTCATCCAATAGTCAAGAGACCTATAGGCCTTATAACTAAAAATTCACTCAACCCTCCAGAATAATAAACAAAAACCTTAATATTAATTTTACATACATTGTTATTAAGATTCGTTCAGCATTAAGTTTAGTCGTGAAAAGGTAACAAACAGATAGCCTGTCACTTTAGCATTTATAATCTTACTTAATATTAGAAATGGAAAATGTTTGAGTATGGATGGAAGGGTGAATGAATGAATGAATGAATTTTGATAAAACTTGACAATAATATAGTTTATACGTTATAATAAATTTCATTCATAATTTAAGAGCTACGGTCTTGTGGAGCTCTTGCCACATCATAATACATAGGCTATACATTTTACGCGAGTGTAACCGCGAGCACAATATTCTAGAATAAAGATGTATTTATAAGAAAAAAAAATAATTAGCTTATAATTCCAAAATCTTAATCAACAGATCACTCCTGACCGTAGTTGCACTCAATAGACAACAAAATGGGTGACATCGAAGATACACATTTCGAGACCGGGGACTCCGGTGCTTCGGCCACCTTCCCCATGCAGTGCTCTGCTCTGCGCAAGAACGGCTTCGTGATGTTGAAGGGGCGTCCCTGCAAGATTGTGGAGATGTCCACTTCCAAGACCGGTAAACACGGCCACGCTAAGGTTCACTTGGTCGGAATTGATATCTTCAATGGCAAGAAGTAAGTATACAAATATTTTATCGAAGAACAATTAGCAGTTTGAAAATTAAACACCTCATACCCTCATATTGTATTTAAAAATTAGTTTACCTAAAGACATCTACATTGGTACATATTATTGATACCGAGTTACTTTTACGCACAATTATAACTAATATTTGAAAGAAATTTGCCACATAGATAGTTAACGTTCTAAATTAATGCATACAGTTTAAAAATTAACCACCTAATATTATATTTTATAATAAATACATACAAATCGGAGGCATGTAAAATTGAATGTAAATTTAGCTCCACTAACAAATTCCCTGGTTTGCGGCAGTCCTTGAAACAATTCATCTTACATTACTTGTAATTTCATGCAATTTTTTTTGTACATGATCAAAACAATTTAGACTTTCAAAATTATTAAAATACGAAAATTTTTACACTGTCTACTTGTAGTTTATAAAGTTTAATAACTCCACCTTTGATCTATGAACAGTTCCATTTCAAAGGATTCGACCATCCTTTTACAAGATTCGAACCTCTAACAGTGCTTTTAGACTGAACTGAGGGCAGGAGTTGGTCTTCAGTCGCTTCATAAATCCTTCTATGAGTTAGGAGTGCGGCACTGCACTCTATCCTATCATTCGGTGAAGCTGTAAAGGCTACGGCCTACAGCATTACTATAGTTCGAATAAAAATAGTATTTAGGCAGTAATTAGTCTTTTTATCTATAACTTCAGAAAATATTTATTTTGATGATTTGATTTAGTTATGTTTAGTACTCGGTATAGAACTACACAATATTGCCCAATGGCTATTTGTAGCTTTTATTGCGAGCCCATAGAGTCGCGATTGCAGTTTCAATATTGTTGTCGTGCTGAGGGTACTCGAAAATTATACTAGGCCTGACTATGCGTCCCGTTACACTACTGTGTTTTGGGATCACCGTACAAGGGCACAAGGATAAGAAATTATTGTATTCACTCTAATATACATAAGGTAATTAGAATATTTAATACTTAGACTGAAGAACCGCTATATAATTTGATAATAAAGCAAAATTTTCTAGTTTCGATCTTATAAATGCTTTATGACATCGAAATTCGATAACTTTGCAAATGCAACTCAGAATATATACTTCATGTAAGTAATGACACCAAATATGTAACAGGTACTAAATGCTGACTTCAGGTTGTCTAAAAATCATAACGGACATTAATAGTAGATGAAATGAAAATAGTGAGGTGCAATTAATTATACAACTGTAAACATCAGTCTCATAACACTAAGCTTGTGGTTCTATTTTCATAATGAATGTAACCGAAAATGGTACCTATTTATTTAGAAATTATATTTCAATGCATAAACAAAATACCAAGGTATAAGTACTTATGGCGGACTTAACGCCTTACAGCAATTTATTACGGCAGCCTATTTAGACTTCGTACAAGACCGTATGTAGGATACCTTTGTATAAATCTCAGTTAATATACGAATATAATTCAGAATACATTCCTGAATCACGATCCTTGATTTTTAAGCAGTTTTTCGGTTGAAAATTGCAATATGAAGTGATTATAAAGTATGATGGTATGAAAAGTTCGTCATAACGACGACAATTGACAGTTACCACCAGATTGGCCGGCAGTATAGCATAACTTTGGTATCTTTTATACTATACAACTTTTTGCTCCTTTGCCTAACACATCAACTTTTTCTAAGCATTACCTAACATGAAATTTGTCTTATTCTCCAGGTATGAAGATATCTGCCCCTCTACTCACAACATGGACGTACCCCACGTTAAGCGCGAGGATTACCAACTTACTGACATTTCTGACGATGGCTACCTCACTCTTATGGCTGATAACGGTGACCTGCGCGAGGACTTGAAGATTCCGGACGGGGACCTCGGTGCCCAGCTGCGTTCCGACTTCGACAGCGGCAAAGAATTGTTGGTGAGTTAACCATTTTATTAATATGCAGTTGTTGCTGATTCAAGGAAATCTTTCATTCATATACTATATGAATGTTTGGTAGAATTACATTCTTTTGTTCTTTTTTCCAACTATAGTTTTATTGAAATAAGTGTTTTGTTTCACATAAGCGTGGTTGCAAAATTAAGTCTGAGTTTAACAATCTGCAGATTTTGCCAAGCTGAAGGGGAAACACCACTACACATCCTATGTGTTTGTAACTCATGCATAAACAAAAGTATACTCTCTATATAAAAACCATCGCTCTTAAGAATATCCTACGATTCTCGTCCCTCACGGGTCTAGGTAGAAAACTTTGATAAAAGTCGAGTACAATACATCTATGTAGGTTGCAGTGCTACAGGTACCTGACAAGTGACAATAACCCAAACCACACAATAAAAAAATAAATAAAAAAGACCCTCTAAATGGTTGGGTCCCTTAGATTTATATACTATTTTTGTAACTCCTCCAATCCATGGTAACATGTGAAGTAATTTATGGCTCATCAGTAAATTCAGTACGAGTATAGAGTCTCCGGCACATTACTCTAATGTGTTGGTGCTAAATTCACTCGTAGATTATTTTCTCAGCTTCTAACCTGGGCTCTTGCCATCATTAGCCATATGGAATTATGGGCGTCGAGTACATTTTTTTTATAAAACAATAACAAGTAAGGACTATTTCTCCGGCCAGGTCTTTTTTTATATAAATATATATATGGTATGGTATACTGCCTTCCCTAACTGTATGCGCTTCCAGGAGGGATCGCGTGGAGGTCAACCTGGCACGATATTGCTAGCAATGGGGGTCACTAATTCCCATCACTAACAATCTGTCAAGTCTGTCCCATCTGGCATATCAGTCGTGGTCACTCGTGGTTTATATTATAGATAGTTATAATTAATCTATTCGTTTACAGTTATATATAGTACTAGCGACTTCGTCCGCGTGGAATTTAACTTTATTTTTGTAAAATAAAAGTAGCCAAGTTACTCCTTATTACATCAGTTACCTGCCAAAAAAAGGTCCCGTCAAAATGGGTCCAGCAATTTCAGAGATTAGCCGGAACAAAGACCGACACACAGACTGACAAAAATTATAAAAAATTTTGGTATATGTACCGTATATATATTGTATTTATATGCGTATATTTCAATATTACAAACAGACACTCCAATTTTATTTATATGTATAGATAGGATAATATCTATTAAACATATGTAATACATACGTAATATATGATAATAACTTAGATATGATTTGTAAACTCTGTATATATATCCTTACTAATATTATAAACGAAAGTAACTCTGTCTGTCTGTCTGTCTGTCTGTCTGTCTGTCTCGCTTTCACGCCAAAACTACTGAACCGATTTAAATGAAATTTAGTACGCAGATAGTCTAGACGCCGAGGATGGACATAGGCTACTTTTTAATATATATGGAAATACAAGGTTATCTTTATGCGGTTGAATCCTTATTCGTCATATTTTCATTTCACTAGCTAACAACCAATCAACACATCGCGTGCGTTTGCGCCATTCGCCATCTTTTCATTTCACTAGCTAACAACCAATCAACACATCGCGTGCGTTTGCGCCAATAAGGTATCCATCACAGAGAACAAAACCACAGATAACATAATGTATCTTGCCGGAAACATGACGTTGACGTTTAGTGAAAATATTGTTTTTGACACTTTTTTATGATAAAATCGTATATCGTGTGTATGTGTTTTTTCTATATATATATATACGGCTCTGGATACAATATAGTTTAGCCCAATTTAAAGTTTTACAATATAAATTACAAAAATTAAAGTCAATATCCAATGTTAAATAACAATAAGTGTCAAATGTTGTTTCCCTGTTCTGAACAACTTAAAAAAAAACTATTAAGTTTTCTTTTTAAGTTGTTCAGTACAATCACAATTTCTTCAAATTTTATTATTTACATTTTTTAAAGAATGTTGTGGTGTGGCACTATCCGAAATTAAATTATTTACCCATTTTTGTAGGTTATACAGAAATAATGTGTGGGTGTTTATTTAAAAAGCATTAACACAAAATTAATAAAGTATAGGTATTAATAAATATATGGTTGTTGTATCAAAATAGAATTTTCTTATTTTTCACTAAAATAAAAACTAACTGTCTTTTTTATAAAATAAATGATCTTTTCATTATGCCATATATTATGGAACTATTTAAATTATTTAGCTGATTGTAAGAAACAAAATGTTGGTTTATATATTGTAAAATTATTATTTGTACGGAAACGATAAAAATATATTTTTGTGCTGCGACAAAAACTAATATTATAAATGTGAAAAACTCTGTCTGTCTGTCTTTCACGCCAAAACTACTAAACCGATTTGAATGAAATTTGGTATACAGATAGTCTAGACCCTGAGAACGGACATAGGCTACTTTTTAATGCGAAAAAAAGGTTGTAAGGGGTTAAAAGGGGGATGTATGGAAGAAATTTTTGAAGCTAGAAGCTTGAAACTTATTTTTGAGACTGTTGATTAAATATAAATAAAAATGACATTCAATGTTTGTAAAAAATTACCCTTAAGGGGTAAAATAAAATAGGGGATACAAGTTTTTATGTAAATTCGTCATTTTTTATAAACTTATTGTTGAGACTGTTGATTAAATATAAATACATATGACATTCATAAACTTAAAATAAAATGTGCAAGTTTTTATTATTTTTTGCTAGAAGCTTGAATCTTATGAACTGTTGATTAAATATAAATACATATGACATTAATTGTTTGTAAAAAAAATACCCTTAAGGGGGTAAAATAAAATGATGTTTTTATTATTTTTGTGATTTTTCGTTGATTAAATATAAATACATATGACATTCATTGTTTTAAAAAAAATAACCTTAAGGGCGTAAAATAAAATAGGGGATGCAAGTTTTTATGTAAACACGTCATTTTTGAATTTTAATCTTATGATTAAATATCGTTACACAACTTACATAATACGTATTTTTTTTATCATTGGTTCGATTTTTAAAAACCCCATAATGTTATAACTGTGATAAATCGTTAATGAAAAGTTGTACACCCGGACAAAGAATATGACTTTTGAAATTGTATAAATATAATCGTCAAATACTCACTAAATAATTCAATGTTTGTAAAATGTTGAGTCCTCTTAGGGGGAGGGGGGGTAGTAAAATAAAATAGAGAATGAAAGTTATTTTGTGGAAGCTAGAACGATTAACTTTTTTCTTTGTCTTTTTAGGGTTGTTTATTAAATACCTTACTGATATTATAAATGAAAGTAACTTTATCTGTTTGTCTCGCTTCTCTTATTGAAATTTCATAGAATAGATTCATTACTTTTTAATGTGAAAAAGCGAGGTTATATTGTATCGTCATATTTAAAGCTAGTTTGAAATTTATTTTTTAGCCTATTGATTAAATATTTATTTTTACTTTTTATCATTTTTGAATAAAACGATGAAACTTATTTATTTGACTTATATTGTGTTTTGTTAAATTTATCAGTATATATATATATGTCTATAGTTTTCAATAGTATATCTACTTGTATATCTTTACAAGTAACTGCTTATCATGTTGAAATGATAAGTAGTGTATTATTAACTTAATAATTATCTAAAGTTAACAATTATATATTGCTCACGCCTAAATTTCTTTTACGATTTGTAATGATAAAAACATCACTTCAGTTTGCGACATTTATAAAAAACTAATTATAAACTTTTGTATTTATTGTTCATGAATACAAACAAAAAACTTTTACCCTTATGATGCTATTATTTTGTGACTCAGTCCACACACACACACACACGCATAATTAGTGATAATCGCATTTATTAAATATAAACTAAATAATGAGTCGTAAATTTTTCGTGTCTCTCTCTTATTTCGAATTTCTGATCACTATTTCAAAACGGAAACATATTTGTTTTATTCTTGATGTTTCTAACAAAAATAATCAACCATATAAATAACACTGACTCAAATACAGAGAGAAAGATGATTTTGTTGTAAGGAGAGTATAGTGTATACACTATCTAACCACTGCACTAATTTGTGAAATTCCTAATTGTTTTTGTGTATGATAACAAAATATGTAATTGTTTGTTGCAGTGCACCGTGCTCAAATCCTGCGGTGAGGAGTGTGTGATCGCAGTGAAGGCAAACACAGCTCTCGACAAATAAACCAACTCAGCATTTATAGGGAGTAACAAGCGTATAATTTTTTTACAATCAACTCTACATAAATGTAAAACATAATATTATGTATAATTTAACGTAAAATATTGTGGTTTGGCGCGGAGCTCGCGATTTACTCTCCGAACGTTAGCTGTCTCGCATTATATTAGCAATAATCATAGCGATCGTGTCGACAATACGGTTGTTTTGTTGTAAGGAATACATATCTAGAGATACGTGAGTTATTAACTAGTCGTATGTCTCTAGTCCTTATACTAAAAATCTCAGGCCTCTCACTCTATCACCAACGGGTGGAACTGACAGATTCTTAGTACAGGGAGACACTGGCTGGCCGACATTGTTACCCCGAGTGTACGATTATTGCGCATAAATGGAATATTGTAACTTATGAAATGTTTAACCGGAAGCGAATATAATGTCATATGTTAATTTATTTATATTAAGTTTAATATAACTCCGTTTGTGAAAGCGCCAGTGAAGTTGCACATGAGCTCCGAGTATTGATTACATCTGCATTGTGCCGTGAATAAATATGGCTGGAGCTAGTGCGCAATACAGTGGCGCGTTCAGACTCGGATCGACGGGCCGGCGTCCGGCTCAGTCCGGCTCAGTCTGGCTCAGTCAGGCGGCCGGCAGCGCTGCAGCGCCGGGACGAGAGTGTGGGAGTGCCGCGCGGAAACTTCACGTTTGTTTTGTTTTGTTTGTTCTCTTTTCGCTTAACGTCTACTCAGTGTCATCTTCATGTTGCGCTCCGCGAGCGGCCGACCGTCGTAGACCGATATCGGCTAAGCTCCGTGTAGTTTGATAATAAATGTTTTATAGTCGTTTGTAAACTGACGTAAGGAGGACGCAAACTTGAAGTTATTACCATATTTTAATGCTAAATTAATCAATACATATAAAATCAAGAAAACAAACAAAAAAAAAAATAGAAATAAATAAAATTCTTGAATGTGGTGTGTGATTGATTAGTCCTTTGGGCCAGTGTCATGTATTTGACGCGGTCCCGTATCGCCGAGAGTGAGCGCACGTCGTGCCCGCCTCTGCGTTGTATCCCTTTGTGTAACACTTGCCATCTGTTCAAATAGACACGTTCTCGATCCTGAGTGAAGTTGAAATAAATTTGAGTGTTACAAATGAATGGAAATTGGGACAACCGATACTCACTGAAGAAGTCACCTAAACTTTCATGCAACCTTAATCTCGTTTCAGTCTAAACTTGAATTCCAAGAGATGCCCATTTAAAAAAGAACCTATGTTTAATATGCCAAGTGACTAAACTATGTTGTTAGTCACTTGGTTAACACATATATATGAGTATCTTCTGGCGTACAGTCAGTCTGAATGTCTGTCACCATTGTATTTTTTTTGTTTATTTCAACTTACACTCTGTTTATATTTATATTAATCACTACCTAGTGATACCATTGTGCGACCAATGATGAACTGTCATTTGAAAATTGAATATCTTCAGTGAAGACTGACAATGCATTTCGTAGAAGAAATAGTTGATTTTTTATATGTGTAAAAATAATACCTACTTGGCTTAGTTAGGCCTTTCCTTGCTCTCTTTATTTTGTTATTTGAACATATGAAATGTTACACATAATCGAGTGGCTTACGGTTGCCTAAATTCCATGTATGTAAGTGTAGTGTTTGCCGTTGGTATTGTAACAGCAAGTGTTGCCGGCAGGGGTCTAAATAGATTATCATTCACTTATAAGTCTGAGGACTATCATTTTTTAGCATCAAATTGTCAAAGACGATATGATATACGAAAATTAATGTAAGAATGTAAGGTAAGGCCCTATAGGAAAGATATTTTTTTATTCATTCAAAATTCGTACGATTAAAAAAATTAAGCTGGTTATATACAGATATTTGTTATCTGTACTTTTTTTTCCTTGAAATTGCATAATCGTTATTGTTGGTCAAGTTTTTATACTTACAAGATTGTAATCAGGTTTTTGTTTTTATTAAAAAAAAAACTTAAGCTAATGTAAAGACGGGAGGTGTAAAAATAAAATACTTAAACATAAAATAACTTTTCTTTTGGCGTGATTAGGGTTTCCTACCGAGGCCTTAACTGCGAACTTTCCTTTTGAAATCTTAATATGCAAGTAATATTATATCAGCGCATTAAATGTGAAATGAAAATTATTATAAACCATTTAGAATTAATGACTGGTGCAGCGTTAATATTTAAAATTAGGAATTGATTCCTCTCCCGCACACATGGTCGGTTGGCTTATATTATAAATACCAAACGATATTTTGTAAAGCGAGCTATAACATCGAATTGTGCAGACGACTTCTATTCACATTAGTCACGTGAATGGTTGTACGATAATAGGCGTGAAGACAATTACAGGAGTTATTTATATTTTAATTGCTTAATTTTTATAACAAATGTCAATATTTTTTCTTTGTTAAATCAAACCTATTTGTTAAGCGAATCATTGTATTGTCACCACTATGTACTTAGCTATAGAAGTCACAAACCGAAACACAAGTTTTAAGTATTTCAAATGTAAATTAATTCTGATTTAAATGTTAGTTTTAAGCAAATGTAAGTTTTTTTCGGCAAATATTGACTCGTGTGCAATATAGAATAGTTTTTCCCGATGAGTCATCACGCCTATGGTCTGTATGTCGCCAGATCGAATATAGCTCGTAGAATATTACTGGTAGCTTTACTTAGGTAAACTGAACTTAAATATATCATAAATATATATATGATATTGTCATGACCTTGTGGCTAAGAGTCAATATCGACTCGTATTTCGTTTAAGAAACTTTAAATTATTTTTTATATTGGGGCGTAGGTCGGATAATAACTATACGTCGGTTTAGTCCTAAACTTCTGTATATACGTAAGAATGGTATATGGATGGATACTAGAATACATTTTTCAAACACATCATGTCTACTATGTGTCTAATATTATAATCTATGTGAAAACGGTACCGAATTTAATAGAAACGGCCAATTCATAAATGTAATTGCAGTAATAAGTATTTAACAGTCTGTCTAATTAAATCTGTACAAAACGAATTATCGTGATTTGTGATTTACTCTCTTTTTTGTAGATAGCCGTATTATTTTTACCCTTTTTTAGTTCTCAAGCTTATTCTTTACTAGATATATTTAATATTATAAAGAGGTATTTTCAGGTTGGATGTACGGAGTATTCTCCGGTACTACTGATTGGATTTTGAAAATTCTTTTAGTGTTGGATGGGGGCCATTTATCGAGGATTTCTATAAGCTATATACATCACGCTACGACAAATAGGAGCGGATCTGCAATAAAATTGTTGCAAAAATTTGTAACAAGCGATGCAAAGTTGCGTAAGTGAGATAGGAGTATTATATATAAGTAGGAGCCACAGATGGATGGATCAACAATATAATACAAACAAATACAATTTAAACGTATTCATAAATAGGTTTATATTTTTATAATCTAGATGATTTAAAGATATAAAAAAAATATTTTAAATACTTTTAGGAACCTTGGATTTGTCTCATTGACATGGTTATATTATTACCACACGAAATATATGTATCGGATTTAAAACATTATGGGTACTGGATAGGTAGGTACACTCCAGAAATTGGCTGCTAAACTTAATATAGGCTACTTTCAAATATCATATTTATACATTTCGGAACTTTGTATTCGTCTTTACTGACGTAGTTATATATTTATCGAATACAAAACTTGTGGATACTGGATAGGTAGGTGGGCTGCTGAACAATACATGGGTACGCATAATATAGGCCGTGAGACATTCATTTAACATAGCAGGATGTCAGTTTCCATCAATTTAAATCATTGGATAATTATCCTCTAATTAAAACTAGCTTTTTAAAATATTATATTTCTTTGTCTTATATTTAGTCGAAATTAACATGTCTCTGCTATGAGGTGTTTTAAACTTAAAAAAAAACACGGTAAGTTAGTCTTTTTATTTATACTACCGATTCCGGCGGGTAAACTTTTCTTAATATTATTTGTCAATTTTATGCGTAAGTGATTTAATAAAGACATGCAAGTTTACGTCGTCGTTATAAGACCAATGAATGAAATTTTAATTGATCGCTTTACTACTACCAGTTTTAGAGACGTTTGTACCTTTAATTTAATTAAGGGGGTCTTCCTATGTGACGGCCTGTTTTTTAGGGATATTTTAGGATTTTTTTTCTACGACCAGTAAATATTTAGAGCTTCAAGTTTTTTATCATTTATTAACACATATTTGGACAGTATAAATATAAAATTTCAGCTAAAAATATTCAGTCAAACTAGAGTTACAGCGCTCTGAACACCCCCGCCTCGAAAAAAAGAGCTCCCACTTCCTCCACGATTCCGGCTGATCGGCTTATCTGAAAAAAAATAAAAAAATGGCGTTTTAATTTGTAGGCTTAAAAGCACGGAATGACCTATAATCAAATGAATATAAAAAAAATTGGATTTTTGATAGACATTTGAAATAAAAGTTGCAAATTAGGCGTTTTTTTTTTTTTGTTTTTTGCTATAAAAAAATCGAAGTTTTGAAAATTTTCGATTGATAATAGTTCATTCCATGCGTTTACATATATTGAGTGTGCCCTGTAAATTTCAAGTAATTCGGTCCAGCCGTTTCTGAGATACAATGGAGGAAAGTTTGAAAAACACAGTTTTGAAAAAAACGCGTTTAAAGTTTCAAGTCCGTTAAAAACTATTAAAATATCAACTTACTCTCAATCGGCGATGCCTGGTCCATAGAGTATTCCTTCCTCTTCCTCGTGAAACTCTTTTAAAGCAGATTGTTCAGCTCTTGAGTCAATCCTGGCTTGTTTAACGACATCACTTACGCGCCGCTCAGAGCGTAAGATTCGCTTTTCATCCCGTTTCTCAACATACGCTTGGGCTTCACGACCAACAGGGCATCCCATAATCGACATAACTTTTAAAATACCTTGAAAACCTTCATTAAAGATAATAACTGCTAAGTAGCTAGCAATTTCAACAACTTTGGGACCAGAATGAAGATGTTTAGGAGCGAAAGTCCAAATCAAAGAATTCAAAGATTCGTTATTGTTTTGTGTCTCTGCTCCTAAACAACGAATTAATAATTCGTCTTTCGATAAATCTTCGAAAACCGGTTTGATAGCTTCTTGGACTTGCGGAATTAGAGGTGGTTTATCGTGATGAAATTGGTCCAGTTCATTATTAGCTTCAGCCTTACGCCATTTACACCAACTGTCTTCGCCTTCTGGACAAAATTGATGCTGAGGGTTTTCATCAGAAGAACATTTGTGATAGTACGTTGCCCAAACTTCCTTTCTCATATCTTCAAGCGAATCTGGATGGCGTCGAATTGCTAATCCGTAGAATTTTGTAATTTCTTGGATAACTTTATCAGTAAGTTTACCTGCTCCTTTTCTGTTTAAGTCTGTAGAAACGTGTCTAAACTTGTATAAACAAATATATTAATAAAAGGGAGGCCAGGTATAAAGCCGACGGTACACAATAGGCCCGGTCTCTAACTGCCAACTCACCGCTCCGAAACGCTCTTTCTTTTACCTGCTGTATCTTTAAAACGACTTCGAATTTTCTAAAATCGCTTTACTACCGTATTCTAGACATGTCAAGGGAGCAATTTAAGAAAAAAAAAATCGATTTTTTCAACCCATCACATAGGAAGACCCCCTTAATGAAAGGGCCTGCAACTATCTTAATTATATATTCTAATATATATATGTCGATGTGATAAAATTGTATATTCAGCATTAGCTTCCATTCGCTATAAAGAAAATAGGTAATTCTTATCACCGTCAAGCAGGTCAAAAATAATAGTAAAATACAATATACCAGAATATTTCAGTCCTTCATTTAATAAAAATTATTTAACAGTATATGTCTGTATATAAAAACTGGATAACAGAACGTGAAATATTATGGAGTAAACTACATATATTGTAGTCTATATATTTTTGGTACAAAAAAGTATACATAATGTAAAATGACATGAATTTTATACATGCAAAATATTAACTCTCTTCATTATCAGAACTGTCTGATGAAATTTCTACAATTAAACTTGGATCATCTATATCGATATCCATTATAGTAGTAGTAAAAGAGTCGCCAAGACGTTGCAATGCTTTTAATAAATCTTCATTTGGATTCTCCTTTTTAATATCTATGGACAGTGTATCACAGTTTTCTTTATAGCTATTGTTTTCATTCTTGTGTGATGAACTTATTTTGCTAGTATTTGATACATGACTATTCTCTATGTGATGCTTTTTAGCGTTTTCAACTAAATTATCGTCCATAAATGTTATCAGCTCAGAATATTTTCTATCACTTAAACAATTATCATTTCTGTTCTTAGAATTCGGAAATGTTTTAACAATTTCCGATAATTTACGATTAACTTGTTCTAAAATATCATTTTCATTGTTACTATTTACGTCATTTGAATTACATACACTGTTGTCTTTATTTTCTATCTTTATTGATGATTCCGTATTATTAATTGTTATTGTATTATTCTGAGCGAAACTACGTTCAACATGTTCAGAATTTTCAAAAGAAAATTTGTTATTTATTATATTGTGTATTGGGTTTACACTCTCTTTTTCAAGTGGAGTGATGTTTGAAGATATATTTTCTATACATTCAGATTTTTTCACAACATTTTCTGGTAATACTGTACTATTTTGTTCAACGGTACTAACTGGCAACTCTATGTTACTTTGATTATTAACGTCGCCTAATTCAGATGTTTTTGTGTCATTATTAGTGCATATAACGTCTCTTTGAACACTATTATTATCTGCTTCACTTTGAACCAATGGCGGTAATGATGTGTTGTTGCAGTTTACTAATTTAACAAACCTGAAAAAAAAAATAGCCTAGGTATTCAACTAAATCTTAATACACTTACTTTTATTATATTTCTCTATCTGTCTATTCTGGTATTGAAATGAATGGCAATCAAACTGAGTTCTTACGCCCGACATATGATAGTCTAGATGATGCGGTATAACAGCAAGTTATACCGCATCTACCTAATCTAGACTAAGCCAAGCTAAGCAGAACTTATGTTAAAGATGCTATACAAATTGAACCTTGGTAAACACTGTCCCAATTTAGGATCGAAAATATATACCTATCCAAGATTTCAGCCTCTTTTTTCATAGCATGCCGTTTATTCTCCTCCAAGCGTGCTAACAAATGTGGATCTTCGTCGGCCGGGTCCGCTTCGAGATTGAATTGGACGTAACTAATGAGATCACGGTATTCGCGTTTTTGACGGTACTTTTGCAACTCATGACCGCAGCGCATGAACAGTGCCCTTGCTGGAATAAACAAATTAAATTATGTCAATATTTATTTTTACTTGTAGATGTTCTTTGTTACAAAAGGTTATAAAGAAAGGGTTCAAAAACATTCAATGCACAAAGTTATTTATAGTTTATTAGAAAACTATCAACACTTCTCCTTTATAGGCCTTCAAAATTGGCAATCTATACTATCTATCTAATTTTATAAAGCTGAAGTTTGTTTGAACGCACTAATCTCAGAAACTACTAGTTCTAATTGAAAAATTATTTTTGTGTTGAATAGTCCATTTGTCGAGGAAGGCTTTAACATTATGCTACGACCAATAGAAGCGACGCACTAGTAAAAAATGTTGCAAAAACGCAGAATATTATTCATATTTGAGGGCTTCCGTTGCGTGAGCAGCGCGAAGTCCCGGGCACAGCTAGTATATATAGAAAATCTTAGGGCCATATAACAGCATCATTGAAGGAAATATATTGGGAATTATGTACAATTTAAAACAAGGACATGTAAACAATTTAATACTTTGTCAATAGCAGCACTTTCAAATTAATGTGAAATAAATCGCTTTGTAATTATTTTTTTTGTTAATATAACAGGAAAGAAAATTAGATTGCGGAAAAAGAGTGTAATTTACTAGTATGTTGACTGTTAGTGAAATTGTGAGACAAAGCAAACCAACCTTCCTTATTAATCTGCGCTTCACTCCAGCCCAAATTTTCTGCCTTATTTGCTTCATCCACACATTGGATAACCTCATTGAAATCTGGGAATTGTGGATTTCCATCACTACCGATATTGTCATTTATCAATTGTTCTAACTTCTTAACAGGCAACAGTAGTCGATCGTTCATTACTTGGAGGCGAATTTTACGCCGCTTCACCGCTTCGTCGCCAGTCAGTGAACACAGCTCTTTGTACAATTTCACTATTGTAGCCTTCATCCTAGCAAATGAGTAAATAAACAAACTTTATGATTATTTTAATACATGAAGCAAAAACTACCCGTTTCTACAAAATTTGTGTGGACAGAGGTGTATGAAACACACCTATAAAGAGAGCAGAATGAATAGAATAGAAAATTCTTTATTCAAATAAATTTAATTTAAGGATGTTTGAATGCTAATATTTGTTAAAAATCACTACATACAAACATGTATTTGACATACAAACACACATATATTACATACATACATATATTATATATTAACTGTTATTGCTGATTCAAAGATCTTATTGTACTTTTATTATAGTCGAATTTCGACCACCAGGCGAGCACTATGGGTTTTATATTCATGACTTACATGACATCTAACAACTTTGAGATGTACAATAAGATATCACTGATCAATGTAATGCATAGCGTATTTTACAGTGACAGATTTAAATGTGTAAGGGTGTGTCCAGAATTTTATTCATAGGAGAAGACCAGGAGACTAAATATTTTTCTTCCATTACTTTGTCTATGTGCAGACTCAAAATGATTATATAAACATGATAGATGCGATGGGCGTTATGCAATCAACATAAAAATAAAAATAAACTGAAGGTGCAGCTTGATTAACATTCCAAAAAAATTACAATGTCATATAGTTATGATATCCTGTTTATTATTTGATAAATACTGCATATTGAGTTATCATTATAATGTATTTTTTATCTCTTATGAAATCAAATATATAAACAATTCAACCTAATCTATTTATTGCAAGAAATACTTACTGATCACATTGTATGTATGGCGATGACATAGAATCATCATCTACTTCTAATACTTCTAATTTTTCAATATTAATTTTTAATATCCTTATTTCTTCTTCAATTTGTTTTATTCTGTCTATATTTTTATCTCTTGATACTATATCACATTCTATTTCTTTCCGAACAACTAGTAAATTGTTATCAAATGCATCACTAGTGTCTAAAGTACAAGTTTTTTCATTATGAACATCACTTGAAACTAAATCAGTAGTTTCTTCACTACTAATCTTTTGATGTACCATTTTCAAAGCCTCCTGATCATTTACTACTAACTGGCTGTCTACATTGCTGTCTGATATTTTATCTCTTAAGCAATTACTTGTACCATTTAAATAATTGGATGATTCCTCACATTCATTCAGGTTTCCATACAAATTATTATTTATTAAAACATTATCATCACTTTTTAATACTTTTCCATCATCAACTTCCTCATCGCTTAAATCAATCACATCTATATTGTTCTCATTTAAGTTAACAGCTGGAACTTCTACTTCTAAGTAATTGTCTTGCTTCTCATTGTCCAGTTTTTGTCTTTTTTTGGGTTTATTTATTTCACTATTAATATGAATCCTGTTTTTGATTTTCTTGCTTGAAATACCTAGAAATATATTATATAGATGTGAAACAAAGTAACGGAAGTAATGCATCCAAAGTAATTTATATTTTGAAGAAAATATTTTCATGTGCAAGAATATATATAATTATTAAGTTTTCATAAATTCCATTTGGAAAAGAAAGTAATTTTTTCAATGACTTTTAGTCATAACCATTCTACTTCATGAAAAGTACCACTGACATCACAACCAGCACTGACACTAGTAGCAATATAGATTCTAGAACTATGGTGGTATCTGAATATTTAAAAATTTCATTGTCATTATCAAATTTAACAATTTTATTCAATTACCTGTTACATTATTTGACAATGTAATTAAATTTGCCTTTTTCCTAGTTTTACTAGCTTTCATAATATCACATAACCGTTTTACATGTGAGAATTTGTGAAAAGGGTCTGTATCTAATAGAGATATCATCTTATTCAAAACCCTATCAAAATCAGACGATATTTTGTAGTTTTCATCTATATCTCTGTATCTTGGCAACAGTGTCCTATTTATTACTCTTAGCATTCCATGTGAATTCTCCAAGTCAAGGCACTTCTCAATAATCTCTGCTAGCTTTTTATTTTCTTTATAAACACTGTCAAAAGTGACATGTGTTGCATTTATTGTGGTTCTATCTGATTGAATATCTACAATTTCAATATCATCATCACCTAGACTCTGTCTCTGTTCTGATACATAAACAACATCATCTGTTAACTTATCTTCATCTATCACTATTGTATCAACCACATCATTACTTATTTTCACTTCTCTATCTGTAGGTACTTCAACAAGCTGGAAATTAAAACAAAGAGTGTAAGTAACAGTGTCTAGTGTGCACCTCCTACCTTCTCTGCGTAAATACTCTCTGTCTACAGGTAAGATGACCATTTGGAAAATTAAACCAATATTAGTATTTTTATTCAGCACCTGGACATTTTACATTGTATCGGCTTAAGTCTCTTATTTCTTTACTTTAACACACCCAAAAAATTCTCATGTTCAAAGACTTATTTGATATGACATATTTGTACAACGGTCAGATGAGAGGTTGATTGTGGAAAATGGACTCCAACTTACATTACTTATTTGATATATTCATTCAGCGAGAGAATTAGGCTATGTATTAGAGACCCTGATCTTAGGAATATATTTTCTTTAAGATGTAATGATAGACTTCATCTAAAATTATCTGCAAATTAGATAAGTATACTGTAAAGTAATGCAACAGTTGGTAACTCCAGTTTTTACTACTTTACCTACTATATTCTAAAGTTCATTCATAGTTATACATATAATTATGTTGTCAATTAGGCAACAGTCCTGTTGATTGAGATAATAATTAACAAGGATTTTTATTTTTTATGTAAATATTATTGACTGCAATGTAGTCTATATGTAATATATGTAATTTAATATAGAAGTAAGAATCCTAGGATGGTGGTCTAGCAGATTAGCATATCACTTTAATTACGATGGTTGTGGGTTTGAATCCTTGCATGGTACGAAAATTTACATTCATGAGTATAATTATATCAGTCTGGGTGTTTTCTATGTATTTACAAAAAAGTATCAATGTATATGTATCAATTGTCTAGTACCCATAACACAACCTCTGCCTAGCTTGGGACTAGATGCTGCTGTGAGAATTGTAACGAAATATTATTACTATGTTATAATAACTAAAATCAGTGACATATTTATAGAAACAAAAAATAAATTTTTCCTTTCATAGTTAGACAGTTAGACCTAGTTTAAACAAATTATTCTCAAGTATGAAAATGTGTTTTGAAATACTTCTCCCATTTCATTAAAAAATGAAAGAATTATAGCTTATTACGCCGTCATGGCCGAAAAGTTAGCAAGTTCATATCTGGCACAGAAAAATATGTATCTATTTTATGAGGAAGAGATTTTTAGTAATGGGAACTATGGGAGCTACCCCATTGCTGCAATGCTGTAAGTTAGAACTAAACGCGGTCTGCCTGGCCTAGAAACCATTGGTCAATTCCTAGTAAATTGGCAACGTTCAGGTAACTAACCTAATTTCATGTTCCACTGGTACCCCGCCGGCATTTACCGTTAGCGCAAGCTAAATATTCCATAATCATCACATCACATCACCATGGACTGAGAGATGGTGTAATATGTGATAAGTCCTGAAGGTCTATTTAATAAAAAAAATATTTTATAAATGTAATGATAATAGTACACACCTCAGCGCTGAATGGATCATCGTTAATAATAACTACATCTTCTGCCATCGTATTTGTAAATATATATGTTGTATTTAAAACCATATACGATAATGCAGTACGACTAAAACTAAGAGACTATGAAAAAAAATATATATAACTTATAAATTAGATACAAAAGTACCTATATAGAACGTTTAAATTTTTTCCACATAACATAAATAATAGAGATGGCGATCTGACATCGATTAATCGAGAAATCGATTTATTTGACGAAACAAAAATCGATTCATAACACTTGTAGATCGAAATGAGATTTATATATATTTATGTGTATATATGTATCATTTCGATTCAAATTATTAAAAAATCATTTTTTTCGGAAAGAATATTTTATAATTATTTCATGTATATTTTTTAACGTCGGACCAAACATCAGTCGTCAATTGTCAAAGTTATCATGTGTTTGTCAGGTGCAGGATGTACCTACTTACTTTTTTTATTTAACGATTTTTACGGCTCCGATTGTAAGCCTATTAGAATCTGTATTTGTCGTTAAATTAAATCTACTAAAATGACATCTTGTTTTATTTGAATAATTGGGTGCTTTTAGTTGTAGAAGTACCTATCTAGAATATGTTGAATGATATAGGTGAATACATAGAGGTTCATATACATAATTGTATTTGACTAATAAATTCTGTCATTGTAAAAAAATATATTTATAGATTTAAGTTACGTTTAACATCATGTCGTTCGTTTTTTATTAAAAATATCCATTAAAATCTAGTTTCGTTTCACTCGGAATATACAATATTCGAAACAACAAAATACGTTGTGTCAAAAATAATCAACAAGTATTAAAATACAAATCTATAAAAATATCAATTAGTAGCTTTTTATAGCACCTATTTCGCTTGATGATAGGTATTATTGCAAAACGCTGTCGTTGGGACAGTGGATCGTTTTGAGGAAAATTACATCGAAGGACAGCCAGTGCTAGCCAACCATTGAAATGGCTACTCACAATAAAGTCACCGTCTAGTAACTAGTAGGTTTGATATCGGCGATCATGTTGTGTACAAATGCAACGTTTTAAACAATGCTTCTAAAGGTGTTTCATGTAAGTTTCATGCGTCTCAATTTGTTGGTATCTATAATAGAGTAGTAGTCGTATAATAGAGTATTGTATTCCTCCTGATCCGTTGTTGCCTAAACGTAAAAGAGGTTGCTCTCGTCCACGCAGGAAAGATATACAGTCCAGTTTATATACACAGCCCGATCTTATTACATCACTAACTTACCTAGTCAGTCATTCTGGTAGTTCAGAGGATTTGCGAGTTCCCTCGCGAGGACGCCCTGGCGGACTCCAGGGGGAGGGAATAGCGTGTGGCAATCGCCCTAAATGCACCACTAGGTTTCCAGCCCGATATCGCGAGTTTCCGGTGACAATAGCATATTTCCGGTAGTTATTATTTGATTGATTAAAGTTTATTAAATTAAAGAACATTATTGCATTCATCATCTCATTATAACATACATTCATAACACAAATACATAAGACATGTCATGTAAAAATAATAAAAATATGTACATCAATATATGTTATTTAATGTAGGTCTATACTAATAATATTATAAAAAGGAAAAGTTTCATTGCTTGTATGTATCGAATAGGCTCCGAAACTACTGGACCGTTTTGAAAAATTCTTTCAGCATTAGGAATCTACACTATTCCTAAGTGTCATATAGTATAATATAGCCTATATTATATTTCCATAAAAATTTGTGTAAAAAAATTACATAAAAAATACCAAACAGTGCGTGCGCTGCGAAAAATATTGATGATAGAACAAAATGAAGTAGGTACTGTGACTTTGTAGAACACATCATTATCTACAAAAAGTGTCACGACGGCATGTGTCCAACTATTATAGTTATGTCACAATAAGTGTTTTATTTTAATTTATAAATCTAATAATTTAAATGCCGCCGCTAGAATAAGCCCTTAATTTGCATCTTGCTATTAATCCTTATCAAAATAAATTACTTACTATATTCACGACTGGTTCAATACCTTTACATAACTTTTAGAATTATTCAATGTGGACATTCCATTCGAAAGATATCACGTAATTAAAATTGTAAGTATTAGAAAAAAACCCGGTCGGTTAGCTATAAACCAAATGCGATGTAGGGTCGTCACTGGGGTACGGAAGGGGGATACTTGCTAAGTTAAGGTAATCAGGGAAGGTAGCAGTTACTTCGTCAGGATTGCTGTACCTCTCTTAACGGATGTAAAAACTGCTCATTCTACTTTTAAACTTTCGCTATCCGTAAATCTTGACCAACAATCTACATGTTCTATCCACAAAACTGGGCCTCTTGGTAAATTCCTACAAGATGTCTTTGTGAGATGAATGCACCATGAGCCATAGAGCCCGTGGGTAGAACCTTAATAGATCTTAGAAATACCTCTGCTCTCATGGGCGGGATTACTTTTATATTTGCTGGAGATTTCCGACAGACTCTCCCTGTCATTAACGTAGGTACGCGAGTAGAGCCGCGGGCGGGACTAGTATTGAATAAGTCAAGTAACATCTGTAACACAGGGATTCCCTAGCACAGATGTTACAGCATATAAATTAATGTTATTGTACAAAAATTAATAAATATTATTGCATATATCATTATTAGCACACTTTCTATACGTGCCTTGCACCATCCACGTCCTTGCAACTTCCTAGAATCCATATCGCACGGCACGTGTACCAGGTTCGCAGCAAAATAGATCATAAACCTAATCTAAGAGGACGTGTACACACACCTCCTTAAATTATTATTATTAATCGATCGCTATAATTTGTGTGCCATGTGTACATCTAGCTTAAATTAATGAAAGTGCCTGCAACTATTTGTGTAAGTCGATAAGACAAATTATTATATTCTGCATTGGCTTCCATTTGGTATAAAGAAAGTAGGTAATTCTTGCCGAAGTTAAGCATGCCAAACGTAATAGAAAAAAAACAATTTAGCAGAATATTACAGACAATTATTTAATAAAAAAAATATTTTACAGTATATAATATATATCAACAATGTAAAGCCAGGATTACAGTAGGTACGTGATACTGTTATCGAGCAAAATATGTAGATTGTATTCTAGGTATTTTCAGTATAAAAAATCAATACACTACATTATACGAATGGAATTTTTATACATCCAAAATATTAAATCTAAGAGATTTATACAATTAAACATGGATCCTCTACATCAATTTAGTAGTAGGACCTAAGAGACGCCAAGACGTTACAATGCTTTTACTAAATCTTCATTTGGATTCGCCTTTTAAATATCTATCTATCTTTTAAATATGGATGGTATATAACAGTTTTCTTTATCTCAATTTATATTTCTAGTATTTGTAAAAATGATTATCCTCTATGAAATAATGCTTTTTAGCATTTTCAACTAAATTATCGGCCCTATATGTATGTATGTTATCAGCTCAGAATATTTTCATATTATCATTTCTATTCTTAGAATCCGGAAATTGCATATTTTAACAAATTATATTTTTATTTATTAAACAAGATTAAATATTGATTCAAGATAGTCAGATAATATACGATTAACTTGTTCCAAAAAATAATTTTCATATAATTGCTCACTATTGACGTCATTTGAATTTGATCCCTCGTTCTCTTTCCTGTCGTCTTTATTTTCTTTCTTTATTAATGATTCCGTATTATCAATTGTTCTTGTATGTAACTTGTGTTCAACATGTTCTAAATTTTCAAAAGAAAGTTTGCTATTTATTGTATTGTGTATTTGGATGTCACTTTCATTTTTAACGTCGCCTTATTCAGATGATTTTGTGTTATTATTCGTGAATATAACCTCTGTATGAACACCATCATTGTCCGCTTCGTTTTTTATTAACTTCTCACACCTGAATAAAAATAGTTTAGCAATTCAATTAAATCGAAATAAACTTATTATTATTTATTTATATTATATATTCCTCTATCTGTCTTGGTCTTGGTATTTGAAATGAATGACAAACATTCTGAGTTCCTAAGACTATAGACAATCGAGAACAATCTTTAGTTCCACAGAAGACTTCAGCGTTTGTATGCTTTTGTAAAATTGTATTGAAAAATTGGTATTTAATACATCATTATTATTACAGATATATTTCTACTAGATTTAATATATTCTCTATGATTGGTTAATTAATTAGATTAGAGGAACTAGATAATTAAATATTTACAATAGCTTATACTTTTTATTAACACTCGAAACTTTTATAATTATAAATCAACATGAATAAATAACAATAAATAACATTCATTTATTCCTAACATAGGTACACAGAAAATAACTCCAAGACCTATAAAAGGTATGGTACCTTGGTAAACACTGTCTCAATTTAAGAAAAAAATACTATAATATATATATATAGGTACCTGTCCTAGTCTTTCAGCCTCTTTTTTCATAGCTTGCCGTTTATTCTCCTCCAAGCGTGCTAACAAATGTGGATCTGTGTCGGCCGGGTCCGCTTCGAGTTTGAATTGGACACAACTAATGAGATCACGGTATTCGCGCTTTTGACGGTACTCCTTCAACGCACGGCTGCAGCGCATATATAGTGCCCATGCTAGATGTAACAAATTAATTTATATCGATATTTGTTTTTACTTGTGAATATTCTTTGTTGATTATAAAAAAGGATTCGAACATATTCAATGCATAAATATACTATTATCGATAGTTTATTAGAAAACTATCAACACTTTTTTCTCGTTTATAGACCTAAATAGGTAAGTATAATAATAATAATAAGTGTGGAGAAAACCAACAAAAGCTGAGAAAACAATGAAATAAAGAATAATAATAATAATTATATAATAACCTGTCTCTACAAAACCAGCTATATTGAGAAATAATATACATAATAATAATAATCTCAGGACAATTCACACAGCGCCATCTAGACCCAAGTTAAGCTAGCTAAAGCTTGTGTTATGGGTACTAGACAACTGTAACTGTGTTACTTTTTTTTCGTAAAAATATACATATTGTACATAGAAAATACCCAGACCGATACAAACAATCATACTCATGAATACAAATGTTTGTGCCGTGCGAGGAATCGAACCCACGACCGGACGCATTCCAGGACAGATTGATGTGCCTTTAAATGCGGAAACAGTAACGGTCGAATTTGTTTTGACTGACTTGACTTTTGACTAATATTAGAAACACGACGTTTGTGAATGTGGTTACATGGATGTTTGTTACTCTTTCAGCCAAAACTACTCGATGGATGTCAGCGAAACTTTACAATAATATAGCATCAGGATAACACATGGGCCATGTATTTCATGCTGGCACAGCTAGTTGTTAGATAAAGTAAACAAACCTTCATTATTTATCTGTGCTTTAGTCCAGCCCAGATTTTCTGCCCTGTTGGCTTCATCCACACATTGAATAACCTCATTGAAACCTGGTAATTGTGGATTTCCATCACTACCGATATTGTCATTTATCAATTGTTCTAACGTCTTAACAGGCTATTGTGGTCGATCCTTCATACTTGGAGGCGAATTTTACGTCGCTTCACCTCTTCGTCGCCAGTCAGTGAACACAGCTCTTTGTACAATTTCACTATTGCAGCTTTCATCCTAGCAAAGAAATAAATGAACAAACTTTATCATTATATTAAAACATGAAGCAAAAACTTTGTACTTGTACCCCTTTTTACAAAAATTGTGCGAACGGAGGACTGTGATATTTTGCACACATATAAAGAAGGAGTGTAGAATGCTAATATATTTTTTAAATTATACTTAAATAATACATTAAAGTAATATAAAAAGACATGAACTACCATGTATTTGACACACAAACGCATATATACTCTTTTGTTTAATTGTTAAAAGGCGCGTAAAAGTTAAAAATCACGTAGTTAGACGAACACTAGTATACATAATTAGAGGACTTATTAGTTTCATATTCATGTATTATACAGTACAAATGTACAGGTATATGTAATAACTTTGAGAAATAGAAATAGAAATAATCTTTATTCAAATAAACATAATATAAGCACTTTTGAATAGTCAATTTTTTTTATTCTACCGCTCATTCGGTATGCAGACTCATCACAAAAAGAATGAACAAGAAACTTGTGTGTTAAGTGAATATTGCTTTAATTGTATTTACATTAACAAGGATTAGGCATGCGACAATCAACATAGAAACCGCTATGCACTTCATCTCTGTTCGATCAGATAACATTGTCATCATTATGTCATGTCATCATTTGTAAATTCTTCAATTTTGTAATAAGCTTTTTTACAATTAAATATTTTATAAGACATTTCAATTTTTTCTGGCTTATTGAGTACAGACTCTAGCAGTTTGTTGTAAAACCTTACGCAATTTCCATAAAATGATTTACTAACTTTTGTCAAACGGCACTTAGGTAAAATTAATTTGTTGATATTACGTAAGCTTATATTAGTGTAAAGCCTACTTTTTTAAAACTGTCAATGTTTTTCCTGGCATACATGAAATATTCGTAGATGTATTGAGAAGCAACGGTGAGGATATTTGATTCTTTAAAACACTCACGCAAAGACTCCCTGGAACCCATACCGTAAATGGAGCGGACAAAATTTTGCAAAGTAAATACTGTATTTATATTAGCCCCATAATAAAATACCGTACGACATAATGCTATGAAAATAGCTAAAATATACAAGTTTAGCCGGCGCCACGTCTATTAATTGTCTAATTTTTCTTACCGCATAAGCGGCAGAACTGAGTCTATTTGCCACACACCATATTTAGAAATATGAGCACCTCATTGCAGTTTGGAGTATAATATGATACCAAGAAATACAGTATCATCTACAAAGTTAATAAGTTTATTATTCAATACGATTTTTGAGTCTACCTTCCTTAGATTGGGAAGCGTAAATTTAATACACTTTGTTTTATCTACATTTAATAGCATATTATTAGCCGTAAACCATTTTAAAACGGAAGAGAGAGCACTGCTTACTTCGTCCATGTCATTAATATGTCGATTGACTTTAAATACTAATGAAATATCATCGGCAAACTTCGGTTTCTACATGTCTGCCATTTTTTTAACCATGTAAGGAAGGTCATTTACGTAAACCAAAAATAAAAAAAGGATCTAGAATAGATCCCTGAGAAACACCCATTTTAACACTGGATCCTTCGGATCTTACACCGTTTATTTCGACAATTTGCATTCTATTATCTAAATAGGATTTCATCATCTTTAGAGCTTCCTTTTTAATACCGTAATGTTCTAGTTTGAGTAAAAGTATTTCGTGATAAACGCAATAAATTCTTTTGAGAGGTCACCGAATACACCGATAGCACCAGCGTCAATAGTTGATTTACCGGTCGTGAAACCATATTGTCGACTGTGTAGTAATCTATTTCTCTTACAAGTGTTGAAGCATTTGATTGAGCATAATTTTTTCAAACACTACTTAGTACTGGTAAGATAGATATGGGCCTAAAATTGCCTACTTCAATTTTATCCCCTGTCTTAAACAGTTTTTATACTATGTTTCATTAAATTGAGAAAAACTCCGTCAGAAATACATTTGACATACCTCAATGATCTTCTATATTTTTTAAATGTAATTGTTTAAATGTTTTCGTTATCGTAGCTAGGCTAATACATTTAAATTTAAATGTAATAGGACAAGAAACAATATTATCAATAAAAAAATATTTAGCTATACTTGGAGATGATTATACAGATGAAGCAATATCAATTGGAATATTGGCAAAAAAATTGTGAAATATATTTACAATAACTTTCGTAGACGTTACCAATTTTTATTTGAAGTAAAATCATTACAAGCGGTATTATTCTTACCAGTTTCTTTGTTTATAATATTCCACACTGTCTATATCTTTTCTTTGGATTCTTTAATTTTTTTTATTTAGATAAATTGATTTGATTCAGGAACTTTTAAAAATGTATGTAATGTAGTAACATTACATACATTTTATACCTTTTGACATTATTTACAAATGCATTATCAAAATGGTATTGTTTTTGTGCATATAAATCAACTAATATATTTCAGCTTTTAATAATACCCGTAGTTGTCCATCCTCAAAATTTTGTTTTTTGCTAATCCTGGTTATTTTTTTGTTAAAAATTCTATTATATTCGTTACAAAGTTTATTAAAAGTTTGTTAGGTTTAGGTCTAGATTGAAGATGGAAATTTAATTTACTTCGTACTGATGTTTTGAATTCATTGTTCTTATAACCAGTTAACTTTGTTAGTTGTAGTTTAGAACTTAACTTAATATGCTATAGTCGTCGTCGATCTCACATTGTGTTATTTTACTGATAAAGGCTATAACAGAATAGCAGAAAGGGTGGACTCACTGCCCTCACTGAGTTATAGACTGTTTTGTTGATTCATTCATTAGTTTTAAATTATATTATTGTATGGGCAACAGTTGTATTGTGTGAAAAGTTTTTGTTTGAGACAAATAAAGATTATTATTATTCTTTTTTTTTTTCACAAATTCTCATCTCCCCTTATAAGGAGAGGAGATGGCACCATACCCCCGGCAGAAGCACAGTCGGCTGGGGTTCAGGGCCCCAGGGAGAGAAACCGGCGTATAATGCGTGCAGAATCTAAGAGCACCGCTTTCTGCATCTTTCCCGGGAGTGAGCCGCCCCGGAATCCCAACCGTCTGAGACAGCTTTTCCCCATAATTCTTTTGGTAAATTAGTTTCTGCAAATTTGGTTCGTGTTGTATTTAATAATGATCTATTCATTCTTTCACTAGTTCCGTTTTGCATTGGAGTGTATGGTGAAGTACCTTTTTGCCGACAGTAGTTTTTGAATCGAGATGATGTAAGTTCTCCACCATTATCTAGTCTTAATTTCTTCGTTTTAAAACCTAATTGTGTCTTTACATATTTAATATAGTGTATTAAATTTTCTTCCGCTTCATTCTTTGGTTTTAATAATTTTTCTGTAACAAAATGAGAGTAGTCATCAACAATTACCTGAAAATATTTTTCTCCATTAATATTTGCTTGTCCAATAGGTCCACAAATATCGGAATGAATCAAATCACCAATTCCTTTTGAATCACTTTTTGTTTCATGAAATACTTTTCTGGTACTCTTACCTTCAGTACAGCTGTCACATACTTTATTGGATAAACGGGAGCCCTAAAATTCTAAAACCTTTTCTATTCAAATGACCTAATCGCCTATGCTACAATGAGGCAATCTTATCATCTCTTTCACTCAACATACTAATGAAATATCATCGGCAAACAGAAATATGTCTGCCATTTTTTTAACCATGTAAGGAAGGTCATTTACGTAAACCAAAAATAAAAAAAGACCTGTAATTACCTTTTCTCCATTATATATTGATACAAAATCTTCATGAAATTTTATTTCTAATTTCTTAGATAAAAGCTGTCTAACTGACAATAAATTATATGACAAATTCTCTACTATTAAACATTGAATCGTAATATTTTCATTTTGACAACTGACATTTATTTTACCTTTTTCTTTACTTGTTAAATATTGGCCATTTGCAATATAAATATTTATTTCTTCAATTTCCCTAATATAGTACATGAAACCTTTATAAGAAGATTTTATCAAATGTTCAGTCGCTCCTGAATCTATAATAAATTTTGTTGTATTATTTTTACTATTTTCACCATATGTTACCTGTTCCTTCTCACCGAAAGCTGTCCGCACCGAAATCTTCCTTGCCATGGTCTTCCTCGCCCCCTCATATTAATTCGACCTGCTCCGTGCCAGGATCGACCTCGTCCTTGTCCATATCTTTGTATGTCTTTTTTATTATACTGTTCTTGTTGATTTTTCTTACATTGAAATGACTTATGACCTCTTTTTCCACATGTATAGCAGCAGAAGATTTGTTCTGAAAGTATATCTGTCTGTTCTTTAGTTTTGTACTTAATTTCTGCATCTAGTAATCTTGTTTTGACGAAATCCATGTTTATTTTATTTTCTAATGACATTGTTTCTATTGAAGTAATAATTGTGTCATAATTCGAAGGCATAGAGGATAATAGGTAGCATATCTTGTCTTCTTCTTGTACAGTATTGCCTATTCCGTTTAGTTCTATTATTAATCTATCGAATGCCATGAAGAAATCTTGCAATTTTGTATCTGATGTACATTTTAATGTGATAAGTTTTCTTTTTAAATGTAATTTATTAAAAATACTTTTCCTTTCAAATTGTCTTTCCAAAGCGGTAATCATTTCTAATGCGGTACTACAGTTTCTAGTTATTTTATTATATTTACTTTTATTTCATCATAATTCGTGGGCTGCGCAGTGGAAGCGTGCTATTGGGACTTTATTTATGCTGAGGGCAAATAAGGAAACGCCATTTTATTCGCAGTCGTCTTTTTTATTAATATGTTTTCTATTTTTATATACAAATAATATATGTCAATATAACAAAGGAGTTTTATGTCCTACAGTTCCAGACTGGTTGGGATAAGACCGTTCACGTTTATTATTATTATTATTATTATTATTAAGTCTCGTTTTAATATTTAAATTTTATCAATTTTATGTATTTGATTTGGAAAGATTAGTGTTTGACCACAGTGATCTGAAGGAAGATTACTTATTATTAATTTTTCTAAATACTCACTGTTAGCTAAGAACAAGTAGCAGACGTGGCCGTGATACGAGTGGGTTCGTGGAAGACAACTCAAGTCAAAAGATTTAAATAAATTAATATATTTAGTTGTGGTGGCATTATGTATTTGATAATATGACTACATTAAAATCAAAATACACTTTTTTTTGTTACTATTAAATAATCTTTTTAACATATCCTCTTCAAATACATTATAATCACTATTGGGAGGTCTCAATACACACATAAGTAAGTAATTTTCTAATTCTACACATATCTCAATATGACACTCTATAGAAAAATTAACAATATCAGTGCGTTCTTTTACTTTTATATTATTTTTAACAAATATTATAGAACCTCCTCTATTTACTAACTTTCTATTGAAGTGGTGTACAGTAATACATCACAGTCTCATAAATTAACACACTGTAGTGGCAGATGTGAATTAGCATGGGTATAGTCAGAATTTTATTCTTATGAGAAGTTTGGGAGACTATGTTTTTTATTACATTAACATGTGCACGCACGAAATGGCTATCTGTACTGAGGTATTTGTTGTGTATTTATTGTGGAGATGCGATGTGCGTTCTGCAATGAACATAAAAATTCCAACTGAAGGTGCAGCTTGATTGTCACTTCAAAAAAGTAACAATGTTTAATAAAAACATCCTTATCCATAGTCATATCGTTATGGTATCCTGTTTATTATTTGATAAATATCGCATATTTGAGTTATCATGCTAATCGATTTTCATTTCTAAATAATTAAACCTAATATATTTATTCCAAGAAATACTTACTTTTTTTTTTATACCACTTATGTGGCAAACAAGCATACGGTCCATCTGATGGAAAACGGTTACCGTAGCCTATGGACGCCTGAAACACCAGGGGTGTCACATACGCGTTGCCGACCCTTAAAAAACATTAATATACCCTTCTTGAAAAACCCCATGCTGTAGTCTCTCGAGAAAACCTCGGCAGGTAGTTCATTCCACAATCTAAGTGTATGCGGGAGGAAGCTCCTCTGAAACCGCACTGTCCGACACCACTTAGGTTCCAGCGTGTGGGGATGAATTCCCTGTCGATGGCGAGCGGTGCGATGGTAAAAAGTAGCCGTAGGCATCATGTAGAATAGAATAGAAATAGAAAATCATTTATTCAAATAAACTTGTCAAAGCTACTCACAATTGCCATCTGATAGTTATAGTATTCACATTTTACATAAGAATGCATGCGGCAATTAATACAAAAACCGCTACGCTTTCATATTTCTAAAATCAATCAATTAAATCAAGAAAGCAATGAGAAAATAAAATTATAACGTTGTATGCTAATAAACTAATTATTTACTTGATATGTTGTCATCTATGAATTCGTCTATCCTGTAATAGGCTTTCTTACATAAAAATTGTTTAATATAAGATTTGAATTGCCTCTCTGTCAGATTTAATGCAGATTCTGGCAGTTTATTATAAAATCTTATGCAATTACCATAGAATGAATTACTGATTTTGTGCAGACGGCATTTAGGTAAAATAAGCTTATTTATATTGCGTAAGTTTCTACTTGTACAGTCTTTGTGTTTTTTAAAACTCTCTAAGTTCTTCCGTGTATACATAATATTTTCATAAATGTATTGTGAAGTAACGGTGAGGATATTTGATTCTTTAATGTTTTGATTCTTTCATGTCAAACAATTCATCAGAACACAGTCCGTTGTATATTCGGTAGAACACACAAAACGATGATAAGTCTCGCCTCAAGTTAAGTGGTTCGATACCGTTTGAGAGATTGGGATCATCGACAATTCTCATAGCACGTCTCTGAACCGAGTCAAAAGGACCGAGCTGGTATCCAGGTGCTCCTGCCCAAAGATGAGAGCAGTACTCCATGTGCGGCCGAACTTGCGACTTATACAAGAGAAGTCTCTGGTTCGCAATGAAGTACCGCCTCGCTCTATTCAGCACACCGAGCTTTTTGGACGCCAGCTTGACCTTTTCTTCGAGGTGACTACGGAACTCAACTGTGCTAGAGATGTCGACATCGAGAATCCCAATGCTCTTAGAGATGGTAATGGATGTGTTCTGGAATTGCGGAGCCACAGCAAAAGGGATTTTCTTAGCGGTGAACGCGCAGGCTTGTGTCTTGGTAGGGTTAATTGAACTAAGTTCAATCGCCCCCAATCGGAGGCTATGGTGAGAGTACTCTCGATTTCAGACACAAGCTGTTCGCGGTTTGACTCCACAACGGAAAGAGGAATGTTCGCATGGCCCGTGTAAAATGCGTCCCCAGTATTGTCATCCGCATAGCAATGAATGTCAACCGTAGTTAACAAATCATTAATATGCAGCAAAAACAGTGTCGGGAAGAGAACAGAGGTTTTGATGTATCTTCCAAACAAAAAACTAGCGCCCCATTTGCATAATCCAGAGGGGTTATGCAAATGGGTCGCTAGTTTTTTGTTCTAGTTCGTAGCTAGTTGCTAGTTCTTTCCCATCATCAACTTCCTCGTCTAACCCTAGATCACTAAGCTTCGTCGAATTCGAAACAAGTGCCGTAAATGCACTCAACATTTATAGGTCGCATCCATTGTAACTCTTGTGAAATCTTAGTATCTTAGTTGGCCCTTGGCCTGTTGCCCCAGACTGTAGTGTTTTGCTTGTTGAAGGTTTGTAAGCGCCGGACCTGCAACCACGACCCGTCGCATCGACGAAGGTTAGTGATAAAGATATATTTTGTACTATTGTGTATATAATTTTGAAGACCGAATCAAAATTTGTGTATTTTTTGCAATAGGTTGACCTGAAAAGGTCTGCAGGTCAACCTATTGCAAAAAAAAAATTGTGCCATATGCCCATCAGCAAAACAAAGGATACGAAAAATAGTTACTACGAGTGTAAATCAGTGTGTGATGAACACAAACTTAATATGTGTCACAAATGTCTTAGTTCATAGTTTTTTTAACAAAATGTTAACATTTATTTGGATTCGATGTTTTAATTTTGATTATTTGACGTTATATGGTCTCAGTAAAAACGCTAATTACGTAATAAACATGTGATTTAATAATATATAATAAAACACTTTATTGTGTACACAGATGAAACAATAAAAAAATACAGTAAATAGTAAAGTAATTACAAAACGGTCTTATCGCTAAAAGCAATCTCTTACAGCTATTATTTAATTAAATATGAATGTTATATATTTGTTAATAAATGATTATAATACAGACACAATATAAAATAAATAACTACAGCATTCAGTAAAACCTTATAAACCTACTTTTTTGACAGCGTAGTCGAAACGACAAAGGTTAGTAATAAATGTATAATAATAATATAATATATGTTTCTTATTAACATAAGTTAACAGCTGGAAGTTCTATTTCTAAATGGTCGTCTTCCGTTTCATTGTCCAGTTGTTGTATTTTAGATTTATGTATTTCATTATTATGATGATGACCTTTGTTGATCTATGGGCAAAAAAAAAATTATTCAATCATATATACGAATTCATGTACATATATTACAGACTCTTATGAGATAAGAAATCTACCGTCAGTTGCTGAGTGCTTTAAAATGCAAATAACGCGCAGGAATAGGGCGCGTAATGCGGGGGGACTACCAACGATCTTTCAGAATTCAGTCATTATGGAGCGTTTCACTGGAGCGGACCGTGCTCTTTGTATGTGAGAGTTTTACTGCAACAATGATTCGGCTACCGTTTCGCAGCGTAAATTTTGAGAAGATCGCAAATTACGCAGGTTAATGACTGTCCTAGAGTTTAAATGATTAAGAACTAGGTTCAGAAACACAAACTCCAGGAGACTAGTTCTACGTCGGTTAAACAACAACTAGGCCAACCAAGGACATCACGGTCGGTCAAGTTGCAGAATTATCCAGGCTTCAATACCCGGTTATATTCCATAATCATCGATAATAAAATGTCCCTGACTGACAAACACATATTTTCAGAGTAAAAAATGGCTTTTATGTGGGTGGCCAACAATAAACTATGAAGTTCACTTTGCAATTGCCTATATATATTGCACATAAAATTCTATATAAACTTAAAGACCTAGTTTTGTGGTGTCTTAATAGACCGACCACATATTATAGTCTGCCGTGTTACTGGTTGAAGTGAAAGAGGATCACTATTTGTAGGCTTAGGCATTAGAGAAATTAAGGGTACCTCCAATGGAAATAAACTTAGGTTTGGTCTAACCTTTTCTGCCATTTCAACTGGTGGTACTCAAACGACATCGTTTGCTCCTAGAACACAACCGGAACTACAGTAAGCGACTACTTTAAACATTTATATTCTATACAAGCTTTAACTAAGACTCTAAGACTCTTGGTAACATTACTTTTATTGTTTTATCCAATCCCAAAACTCTCCCCACCAGCTTGTAGGGTAACGAAATACAACAATAATTTTAGTTAAATTCTAATTAACTGCAGTGGAATATTGTAATTTATTATAATGCATAAAACACAATATTTTTATTTCGATATTTTTATATTATATTATATATACAGTAACAGTAAAGTTGTAAAGTTTGTTGCTTAGAAACGAGCCGACAAGTAGTAAGTTAAGTATACTTTTTCACCTATAAAACTTGTAATACTTGCGGACTTTTTCATTAACTGGTATTTGAAGGACCGCTATTTTATTATCAGCTATTATTTCTACCGGACCGTGCCTAAATTTGATAAGCAACGAAGAAATTAATTATATATAATTAGAATATATTTCTAAACAGTCATTCAATGACAAGCTTTCTTTAATAATAAACGCAAAATCATCGAACACAGGCCGCATATTTGTAGTACGTATACACTGTCTTGCTCACCATACAGTATTCCGGGAGTAGTCTCACTCCAGAACTACTGTATGGTGAGCAAGATATTGTGCCGAGTTATGATCTGGTTCATCAACGACTTCTATAATAGATAAATATAGCCATTCCTGAAACTGCTCATTATACTCTTTCATAATACCTAAGCGAAACAAAAATAGTGTTAAGTTTCAAAGTTTTTTGAACTAAGTCGTAGTTTACGGGTAAATTTAGAGATACCTATGTAATTCCAGGACAACTTTACGTCATATCTATCTCCCTCAATAATGGTCGTATCCTTAAAGAATTGTAATACTTCTTCAATATATTATTATAGTAATAGTCAATTCATGACTACAGCACCAAACAATTTTTTTCTCAAATTAATTACAACACTACTTTTTGTAGGTAGGTATATGTGTGTTAAGGGGGTCTTCCTATGTGATGGGTTGAAAAAATCGATTTTTTTTTTTTTTCATAAATTGCTCCCTTAACATGTCTAGAATACGGTAGTAAAGCGATTTTAGAAAATTCGAAGTCGTTTTAAAGATACAGCAGGTAAAAGAAAGAGCGGTTCGGAGCGGTGAGTTGGCAGTTAGAGACCGGGCCTATTGTGTACCGTCGGCTTTATACCTGGCCTCCCTTTTATTAATATATTTGTTTATACAAGTTTAGACACGTTTCTACAGACTTAAACAGAAAAGGAGCAGGTAAACTTACTGATAAAGTTATCCAAGAAATTACAAAATTCTACGGATTAGCAATTCGACGCCATCCAGATTCGCTTGAAGATATGAGAAAGGAAGTTTGGGCAACGTACTATCACAAATGTTCTTCTGATGAAAACCCTCAGCATCAATTTTGTCCAGAAGGCGAAGACAGTTGGTGTAAATGGCGTAAGGCTGAAGCTAATAATGAACTGGACCAATTTCATCACGATAAACCACCTCTAATTCCGCAAGTCCAAGAAGCTATCAAACCGGTTTTCGAAGATTTATCGAAAGACGAATTATTAATTCGTTGTTTAGGAGCAGAGACACAAAACAATAACGAATCTTTGAATTCTTTGATTTGGACTTTCGCTCCTAAACATCTTCATTCTGGTCCCAAAGTTGTTGAAATTGCTAGCTACTTAGCAGTTATTATCTTAGGAAAGTTTGAAAACTTTCCTCCATTGTATCTCAGAAACGGCTGGACCGAATTACTTGAAATTTACAGGGCACACTCAATATATGCAAACGCATGGAATGAACTATTATCAATCGAAAATTTTCAAAACTTCGATTTTTTTATAGCAAAAAACAAAAAAAAAACGCCTAATTTGCAACTTTTATTTCAAATGTCTATCAAAAATCCAATTTTTTTTATATTCATTTGATTATAGGTCATTCCGTGCTTTTAAGCCTACAAATTAAAACGCCGTTTTTTTTTTTTTTTTTCAGATAAGCCGATCAGCCGGAATCGTGGAGGAAGTGGGAGCTCTTTTTTTCGAGGCGGGGGTGTTCAGAGCGCTGTAACTCTAGTTTGACTGAATATTTTTAGCTGAAATTTTATATTTATACTGTCCAAATATGTGTTAATAAATGATAAAAAACTTGAAGCTCTAAATATTTACTGGTCGTAGAAAAAAAATCCTAAAATATCCCTAAAAAACAGGCCGTCACATAGGAAGACCCCCTTAAGGGCGCTCAATCTAACGGAGCTCGTACAATCATGGTTTTATTTTTATACCACAAATTAACTTTGAGAGTTTGTAATAAAACAGTACTTGTAGTCATCAAAGAGGACTGATTAGATAGAACTCGTGTTACAGTACTAAATTCGTCGAAATAACGATTTTATCATCGCATATCGGCATTATTATATAGTATAAAACAAAGTCGGTGTCGCTGTCTGTCCGTCGCTATGTATGCTTAAATCTTTAAAACTACGCAACAGATTTTAAGCGGTTTTTTAAGAGATAGAGTAATCACTCTATCTCTTAAAAAACCTAGAGGAAGGTTTACATATATATATAATACATGTACACCCGTGCGAAGCCGGGGCGAGTAACTAGTTGAAGTATAAAGTCTCTTTGCATAAATAATATATTTTCGGGAATTTTCTACACCTTTTAGCTACATATATGCCCCGATTGAAAATACAGATAAATATAGCACGCTTAGGGGAGCGTGGGGTACAGTGGTTATTTTATTTACAAGTGCTATAACTTCACATTTTCAACCCTACATTAATCAGTGACAGTCAGTGGTTTATTGAAAACCTAAGATATATTTAAGTTTGAAACAACAATGCTAAAATAGTTTTATAAATACTTAGTAATAAGATAATAAGTTTTTTTATTAAATGGCAAAGTATCCACTGTGACCCATTTATGGGACACAATAGGTAATGGCTATTTAAAAATATGTTTATTATAACATTGTAAGTTGTAAGTGCTTGTCTTGGATATCAGTAAAGAATTTTCGCTCTGAGTAATTTGGTGTAATATCTGTGCAGAGTCGTGTACGGAATATTCATAAATTTAGCTACAGGTTTAATTTTTTACAATGCAGATATTTTAAATAATTTGTGCTTCCGTATGCAGACCAATATTGATCTTCCTTTTCCTATTCTGTGACATTTAAACCTACAAAAAAAATATTATAATCTGTCACTGTACTCAAAACGATACGCTGTACCCCACAGATAGATATGCGATTTAAAACATCGCAATATTTATTTTATTTGCTAAGTAAACAAATAAGACTAATAAAATCCCTCTACATTAACCATAGACATTAACAAATAATTAAATCTTGCAAAATCTTTTGCACATAGAAAGGCAACATGTTTTACAAAAACATGTAAAAAATATTTTTATCTTACTTGTCGACTAGTGTACTGCGACGCAAACCCTTTTACTAAAATTAACATAGCGACTAGTTAGGACGCGGAAGAAATGTAAGAACGACAACGTCGCGGAAACGCAAGTGTTTGTGTGATCATTGATCAAGCTACAATGATCTATCCACTGTGACCCGCGATCCACTGTACCCCACGCTCTTACTCCTTGCGTTGATCTAAATTCATTTTCATAGCATTCGTACCCTCCGAGCTCATATACGATCGCTTGTCACAGAAGATACAAGGCTTCATAATGTTAGGTTTAGAATTATTATGTGTATTATTATTACTAAGTATTATAATTACCTGAGGCAGTACATTTTTAAGAACTACTCTGACCATAATCTACTCTGACTAAATCAGAAATATTAAAACGGTCATCGCTCTCGACTTCTTGTTTAATGAAGTTAAGAAGTTTAATAAAATAGTCAGACTGATCCTTTTCACAAGATTCAGTCTGTTTCCAAATACAAAGCAGTTCTATGGGCAGAGTGGATTCGACTAAAGGACGTAACATAGATGCGTATTTATTAGTAGTGACATTCAAACTATCTAAAGCATGCAGTTGAGTTTTAAGTTTATCATATAATACTCCAATTCGCGTAGCAGTCCCTCTTGATTGATCCTGAACTAATGTCAACAGCTCACGAACATATATTTCAATCAAAAGATCATCACGACCATATCGTTCTTTAAGTTGTTTTACAGCTTTCTGATAGTTAGGAGAAAGGCTTTCTACTAGTGAAGCGGCAGGAGATCCTGGTTCCATCGATTGCAGCAGATACTGGAACTTCATAATTTCATCTATGCTGGAATCTTCATCGATCTTTTGGAACTTCCCCCAGAAGCCTATCCACTTCTTCACATCACCATCATAACGAGGAAACCGCCAGATATTTTTCACAACGGTATCTTCGACGTAACTCGTTTGAAATTCAGTTCCAATATTACTTTTGCATTTATTAAATGCATTTTTATATTTTTGTTGCATCGAAAACCATATATCATCGTACTGCTCTATTGATTTAATATCCTTGTCATATTCGCTTTCGTCTCTGTCTACCATATCTAGCCATGAATCTAGTATTTTACTGTTAACAGCTTTCAACGTTTTGTATCTGGCGGTAAGATTAGTAAAACTGGTTTCGGAGGCATCTTTATCTCTGTTAGTTAAAGATTCTTCTAACTTACTTACTGCGCCATTAAAGAATCTTCGAGCTAACTTTCTTTCCTCTATTGCCCTCTGCATATTTTCTTATACTACACGGCCGCTTGTTTATGTTGTGGATATTATTATATTATATAGTATAATTATTTTTTGGTTCTATATATGAAGAAAGCTATTCCATCTACTCGAAAACTTTATATAATAATAAAAATAATACAAAAAAGGGTAAAATAAAATTATATATTTTTTATAGTAGAAAAAGTGATTTAAGTGACCAGCAATAAACTATGAAATCCACAACATAAATATTTTGTATTTTAAACTAAACACAATAATACAATACGACTAAAACCAAGAAACTAAAGGAAACTACGCGAAAAATGTCAGATATATACTTTTGTATCTAATCTCTAACAAGATATACTATCTATATCTTGTATTTTTATTAGTGTATTAGTAGTAGATGGGGGGCACACTTCGATATTCTAATTTGTATATTTTGAGTCTTACTGTAATGGTATAAAGCTTAAAGTCGTACCTATAGCAAAATAATTAATAATTGAAGTATGGAAAGTGGTGCCCACTACAAGTTCCTATAAATACTTAAAAAGAATGATTTTTTTTGGTTCTGTTTAGCCTTTATAGGAAAGGCAAAGGGAACTGCGCCCATACAGCCATGTCTTCATAGTTTTTGATTTTCTTGATATTCTTATATAAATTTGTTTTTAAATATCTTGGATGGTTGAGATTATGTATTCATACAGTGCAAAAAATGTTCTTGAATTTCTTAATATTTCTTGGAGAGTACGCGGGATATGCTCTTCACTATGATAGATTTCAAGAAGTATTCCGGATAAAAGAACTCGTTGTACAGAAAAAGTTTCACACTTAAAAAATATGTGTTCTAGTGATAGAGAATCTCCTGTACTGCAGCGGGTACATGTGGGAGAAGAAATCATTCTAAATCTGTGCAAATGTTCATTAAATAAGTTATGTCCAATCCTCAGTCTACAGATAACCTTATAAAAATGTCTGTGTATAAATTTTCCTTTCGTAAACCAAGGATTTTTAATATCTTTTTCTATACTTCCATACCATTTTCCTTTATGTTGTAGGGTCAATTCCCATTCCTGTTTCCATTTACTCCTTATATATGATTTAAAAGGTACAACTAAATCTAAGCCTGGCAATGGTAGTTTTTTTCTTCAGTGTGAACATTGTTGAATGAACATAGAGGTTCATATATATATTTGTATTTTATTAATAATATCTATTAAAATCTAGGTCATTTCACTCGGAATATCTCCCAATTCAACAGGTTATGGGCTAATAATTATAAATAATATAAATATATTTACATAAAATATAATAATTAAAATTAAAAACATTAAAAATGGCGAGAATGGGTGATACTAATGAACACACATAAAATTAAAAAAAAATTCAAAATTCAAAATGTCTTTATTCATGTAGGTCTATTACACACTTATGATATGTGAAATCTACCGTCAGTTCGGAATGATTTCGAGATGAGAAGAACTAACAAGAAACTCATCTCGTATTTTTTTTAAATGTACTTATTTACAAAATACAATTTCATTTAAATTCAAATTTGGGAGAATAGAGTGACCACCAGCATATGCTATTGAAAAATCTAATCTGTAATCGCAACCTGAACAGACCAGTCCCCACAAGCAGCACACGTTTACGAGTATGACGGATGAGCCAGCCATCATTGCATAGCGAGCATGGCTGTTTCAAGTTACTCCACTACGTCATTTATATTAATTACAGCATAAACAGTACCAATCACAGTTTTCACCCATTACAATATTTAATTTACATCACAGAAGACCGAAGAGCTGGACTCAAAGAGGGAACACTGCCAGTATCTTCGGAACCTTGCCTAAAGGGACCCCTTTTAATAATATATTTTAGTCATCATATTATATATTTTTTTAAGCTTTTTAATTTTAGGTTCTTAGTTGTAAATATAATTTATAGTAATTTACATTACTTGAATTATATGTCATTACTAAATTTAGAATAAGTTTCTTTAGTGTTTATTACATTATCTATGTCAATAGGATAGTTATATACCTTATAAAAAATGTTAAAATTGTAATTAAGTCCACGCAAAATTCTAACCGATGTATCAATGGTGGTAGATTGCATTCAACTTGCATAGAATTTATTGCATATGTTTTCATAGCTCCTAGAATTAACCGCATATTCATGTTTTGAATTTTGTTAAGTTGTTTAATAAATTTAGATTCACTACTATAACAAAAAAAAGCGTATTCAAAATGAGTTCTAACTATGGATTTATATAAAATTAATAATATTTTTGGGTCTGATCCCCAATGACATCCAACCAGCGATCGTAAAATATTCGTTGCATTCATAGCTCTATCTGCAATCCTGTCCACGTACATTTTCCAGTTAAATGCATTATGGAATATTACACCTAAAAATTTTACTTCATTTGTAATAGGTATGACTTGTTCTTTATACATAACTCCTGGAACTGCAAAATTTTGGTATTCAGCGAAGCTTACCGTTTTACTTTTATGAGGACTAATTTGTAAATTTAATGAGGATAAATAAATATTTAAACGATCTAATGCATTGTTACCTTTATTAACTGTATCAGAAATATTTTCACCAACGCTATAAATAGCTAAATCGTCTGCGAATTGTAGATTAGAGACTTCGTTACCTATTACTTCATTCAAACCTTGTATATAAAGGATATAAAGAATTGGACTTAATATTCCACCTTGACAAACACCTAAATGTGACAGACGTGGACCTAATAAAGTTTTATTTGATATATACTTGACGTCTATTGGGGAAATTGTATATACAGTAAACTAATTTATTATGAAGACCTAAAGAATGTAAAAAGTTTTGTATGTTTAACAAATTCAAATTCAATTCAAATTCAAAAATCATTTATTCATGTAGGACATTTTAGCCGCTTATGAACGTAAAATTTTTACATTAGAATTTTTTTCCCTACCGTCCAGTTCGGTATATAGATCCAATTGAGAAGAACTGGCAAGAAACTCAATTGAATTACTTTTTTTTTAAATCCAGTTTTTTACAATGCATAGGTATTTATATAGGTGTCTATGTCTAAAATTAAATGAAAATCCCGAACATGAAAACTATTGCCATGCACGCTCGTCATTCAAGTCATCGTTTAGTGAGTAATAGGCCTTGCTCAGTAAATATGATTTAACAGATGTTTTGAATTTATTTAAGGGTAATTCCAATATATCCTTTGGTATCTTATTGTAAAATTTTATACCTATTCCCATAAAAGACCTATTGACTTTTTCTAAACGATACTTGGGGAGAGCAAGTTTGTCTTTAAATCTAGTATTAATATTATGAATATTGCTGTTTTTTGGAAATAAGTCAAGATTTTTATGAACATATAGGATATTTGAATATATAAATTGAGAAGCAACGGTGAGAATATTTGCCTCTTTGAATTTCTCTCTTAATGAGTCACGACTCTTCATACAGTAGATCGCTCGAATGGCACGTTTTTGTAATATGAATATATTTTTAATATCTGCCGCTTTTCTCCATAATAATATTCCATAAGAGAGTAAACTATGAAAATAACTGAAATAGACCAATCTAGCAGTATCAGTATCAGTGTGCTGTCTAACCTTACGCACGGCAAAAGCTGCTGAACTCAGTTTCGCTGCAAGACTTTGAATTTGTTCACCCCATTGTGTACGCGAGTAGATATCATACTTGAAATCGTCTGCCTTATGGTCTTTAATTGAAAGTTTAAAATTACGGACGAATACGAGAGTTCAACTTCATGGAATTACAGATAGTGATTTCACACAAATGCTCAAATTTGGGTAAAGAATTTTCCCACATTTTCTGGTTAAAATATCTGTCGCATTAACTATTGAGAAATCTCACGGCCAGATCCTCAAATTAATAGGGATCGACATACGAAAAGAATGTTTTAGTTATGGCCTATTGCGGGTCGCAGCTCCTGAAAATCAATTTATTTTGCCACAAAACAAAATAACATCAAATATGGCGTAGTAGTGTAGTGTAAAAGATTTCAGAACAAAATGTTAAGGATGGTAATCAATGCCCCTTGGTATGTCACAAATGAACAGCTGCATCATGATCTGGAGACAGACACTGTCAAACAAGAGATTTTGAAACAAACCAAATCATACGACGAAAGAATGAAAAATCATCCCAACCGCCTGGCAAAGACATTGATGAAAGTAAGTCAATCTAGTCGCAGACTAAAACGCAAAATGCCTCAGGATCTTATCAAATAAACAGTGTATATATAAAGTAAAGTAGGATATGTGCAACACATACCGAGCCTGTCATGACGAGATAACCCAACATATAGTACATACTACGTAATAGGGAAGCTCTGAATCAATAAATTTAATGGATTTTGTTTTATTGTTATGATCTTTTACAAACATTGGAAATGTTCAACTTTATTGATATAATACAGTTATAAAAATCTTACAAATAATATACAAACTTTATAAACTTTTTCTCTTTTTTGTAACATGATGCAAAAAAGAGTATATTTGTGTGAAAATGTGTGTGTTAAAATTTTTGTTAATTCTTGTGAGAAGTCTTGGCAAGCCGCTATAAAGTATAAAAGAATTTCGCTTCCCGTTGTCTGTCTGTATCTATGTATGTTTTGATTTTAAAAAGTTACGCGGATTTTGATAAGTTTTTTTAATAGACAGAATAGATAAAATGACTCAAGAGGAAGGTTTAAGCTATATAACACCCCACTACTGAGGCGTATAACTTATAGTCCACGCGGGCGAAGCCGCGGGCGGGACTAGTATTGAATAAGTCAAGTAACATCTGTAACACAGGGATTCCCTAGCACAGATGTTACAGCATATAAATTAATGTTATTGTACAAAAATTAATAAATATTATTGCATATATCATTATTAGCACACTTTCTATACGTGCCTTGCACCATCCACGTCCTTGCAACTTCCTAGAATCCATATCGCACGGCACGTGTACCAGGTTCGCAGCAAAATAGATCATAAACCTAATCTAAGAGGACGTGTACACACACCTCCTTAAATTATTATTATTAATCGATCGCTATAATTTGTGAGCCATGTGTACATCTAGCTTAAATTAATGAAAGTGCCTGCAACTATTTGTGTAAGTCGATAAGACAAATTATTATATTCTGCATTGGCTTCCATTTGGTATAAAGAAAGTAGGTAATTCTTGCCGAAGTTAAGCATGCCAAACATAATAGGAAAAAAAACAATTTAGCAGAATATTACAGACAATTATTTAATAAAAAAAATATTTTACAGTATATAATATATATCAACAATGTAAAGCCAGGATTACAGTAGGTACGTGATACTGTTATCGAGCAAAATATGTAGATTGTATTCTGGGTATTTTCAGTATAAAAAATCAATACACTACATTATACGAATGGAATTTTTATACATCCAAAATATTAAATCTAAGAGATTTATACAATTAAACATGGATCCTCTACATCAATTTAGTAGTAGGACCTAAGAGACGCCAAGACGTTACAATGCTTTTACTAAATCTTCATTTGGATTCGCCTTTTAAATATCTATCTATCTTTTAAATATGGATGGTATATAACAGTTTTCTTAATCCAATTTATATTTCTAGTATTTGTAAAAATAATTATCCTCTATGAAATAATGCTTTTTAGCATTCTCAACTAAATTATCGGCCCTATATGTATGTATGTTATCAGCTCAGAATATTATCATTTCTATTCTTAGAATCCGGAACTTGCATATTTTAACAAATTATATTTTTATTTATTAAACAAGATTAAATATTGATTCAAGATAGTCAGATAATATACGATTAACTTGTTCCAAAAAATCATTTTCATATAATTGCTCACTATTGACGTCATTTGAATTTGATCCCTCGTTCTCTTTCCTGTCGTCTTTATTTTCTTTCTTTATTAATGATTCCGTATTATCAATTGTTCTTGTATGTAACTTGTGTTCAACATGTTCTAAATTTTCAAAAGAAAGTTTGCTATTTATTGTATTGTGTATTTGGATGTTACTTTCATTTTTAACGTCGCCTTATTCAGATGATTTTGTGTTATTATTCGTGAATATAACCTCTGTATGAACACCATCATTGTCCGCTTCGTTTTTTATTAACTTCTCACACCTGAATAAAAATAGTTTAGCAATTCAATTAAATCGAAATAAACTTATTATTATTTATTTATATTATATATTCCTCTATCTGTCTTGGTATTGGTATTTGAAATGAATGACAAACATTCTGAGTTCCTAAGACTATAAACAATCGAGAACAATCTTTAGTTCCACAGAAGACTTCAGCGTTTTCAGCTTTTGTAAAATTGTATTGAAAAATTGGTATTTAATACATCATTATTATTACAGATATATTTCTACTAGATTTAATATATTCTCTATGATTGGTTAATTAATTAGATTAGAGGAACTAGATAATTAAATATTTAGAATAGCTTATACTTTTTATTAACACTCGAAACTTTTATAATTATAAATCAACATGAATAAATAACAATAAATAACATTCATTTATTCCTAACATAGGTACACAGAAAATAACTCCAAGACCTATAAAAGGTATGGTACCTTGGTAAACACTGTCTCAATTTAAGAAAAAAATACTATAATATATATATGTAGGTACCTGTCCTAGTCTTTCAGCCTCTTTTTTCATAGCTTGCCTTTTATTCTCCTCCAAGCGTGCTAACAAATGTGGATCTGTGTCGGCCGGGTCCGCTTCGAGATTGAATTGGACACAACTAATGAGATCACGGTATTCGCGCTTTTGACGGTACTCCTTCAACGCACGGCTGCAGCGCATATATAGTGCCCATGCTAGATGTAACAAATTAATTTATATCGATATTTGTTTTTACTTGTGAATATTCTTTGTTGATTATAAAAAAGGATTCGAACATATTCAATGCATAAATATACTATTATCGATAGTTTATTAGAAAACTATCAACACTTTTTTCTCGTTTATAGACCTAAATAGGTAAGTATAATAATAATAATAAATGTGGAGAAAACCAACAAAAGCTGAGAAAACAATGAAATAAAGAATAATAATAATAATTATATAATACTTGTCTCTACAAAACCAGCTATGTTGAGAAATAATATACATAATAATAATAATCTCAGGACAATTCACACAGCGCCATCTAGACCCAAGTTAAGCTAGCTAAAGCTTGTGTTATGGGTACTAGACAACTGTAACTGTGTTGCTTTTTTTCGTAAAGATATACATATTTTACATAGAAAATACCCAGACCGATACAAACAATCATACTCATTAATACAAATGTTTGTGCCGTGCGAGGAATCGAACCCACGACCGGACGCATTCCAGGACAGATTGATGTGCCTTTAAATGCGGAAACAGTAATGGTCGAATTTGTTTTGACTGACTTGACTTTTGACTTATATTAGAAACACGACGTTTGTGAATGTGGTTACATGGATGTTTGTTACTCTTTCAGCCAAAACTACTCGATGGATGTCAGCGAAACTTTACAATAATATAGCTTATACATCAGGATAACACATGAGCCATGTACTTCATGCTGGCACAGCTGGTTGTTAGATAAAGTAAACAAACCTTCATTATTTATCTGTGCTTTAGTCCAGCCCAGATTTTCTGCCCTGTTGGCTTCATCCACACATTGAATAACCTCATTGAAACCTGGTAATTGTGGATTTCCATCACTACCGATATTGTCATTTATCAATTGTTCTAACTTCTTAACAGGCAACTGTGGTCGATCCTTCATTACTTGGAGGCGAATTTTACGCCGCTTCACCTCTTCGTCGCCAGTCAGTGAACACAGCTCTTTGTACAATTTCACTATTGCAGCTTTCATCCTAGCAAAGAAATAAATGAACAAACTTTATCATTATATTAAAACATGAAGCAAAAACTTTGTACTTGTATAGTGTAAGGAGGAATATGAAATTTTGCACACATATAAAAAAGGAGTGTAGAATGCAAATATTTTTTTAAATTATACTTGAATAATACATTAAAGTAATATAAAAAAACATGACACACTATCATGTATTTGATACACAAACGCATATATACTCTTTTGTTTAATTGTTAAAGCCGCTTAAAAGTTAAAAGTCGCCTAGTTAGACGACCACTAGTATACATAATTAGAGGACTTATTAGTTTCATATTCATGTATTGTACAGTACACATGTACAGGTACAGGTAATAACTTGAGAAATAGAAATAATCTTTATTCAAATAAACATAATATAAGCATTTTTGAATAGTCCATTTTTTTATTCTACCGCTCATTCGGTATGCAGACGCATCACAAACAGAATGAGCAAGAAACTTGTGTGTTAAGTAAATATTGTTTTAATTATATTTACATTAACAAGGATTAGGCATGCGACAATCAATATAGAAACCGCTACGCACTTCATCTCTGTTCGATCAGATAACATTGTCAGCGCTATCAATTTTAAGTTAAATATTTTCTACAAAACATTATTATCATTTGTAAATTCTTCAATTTTGTAATAAGCTTTTCTACAATTAAATATTTTATAAGACATTTCAATTTTTTCTGGCAAATTGAGTACAGACTCTAGCAGTTTGTTGTAAAACCTTACGCAATTTCCATAAAATGATTTACTAACTTTTGTCAAACGGCACTTAGGTAAAATTGATTTGTTGATATTACGTAAGCTTATATTAGTGTAAAGCCTACTTTTTTAAAAGTGTCAATGTTTTTCCTGGCATACATGAAATATTCGTAGATGTATTGAGAAGCAACGGTGAGGATATGTGATTCTTTAAAACACTCACGTAAAGACTCCCTGGAACCCATACCGTAAATGGAGCCGACAAAATTTTGCAAAGGCCCTTATTTGCAAAATAAATACTGTATTTATATAAATACGGTATTTTATTATGCTAATATTAGCATAATAAAATACCGTACGACATAATGCTATGAAAATAGCTAAAATAGCACAAGTTTAGCCGTTGCCACGTTTGTTAATTGTCTAATTCTTCTTACCGCATAAGCGGCAGAACTAAGTCCATTTGCCATATGCCACACACCATATTTAGAAATATGAGCACCTCACTGCAGTTTGGAGTCTAATATGATACCAAGAAATACAGTATCATCAACAAAGTTAAAATTTATTGTTCAATACGATTTTTGAGTCTACCTTCCTTAGATTGACTTGATTTCCGTAAATTTAATACACTTTGTTTTATCTGCATTTAATAGCATATTATTAGCTGTAAACCATTTAAAAACAGAAGAGAGAGCACTGTTTACTTCGTCTATATCATTAATATGTCGATTGACTTTAAATACTAATGAAGTGTCATCGGCAAACAGAAATATGTCTGCCATTTTTTCTACCATGTAAGGTAGGTCATTTACGTAAACTAAAAATAAAATAAGGGCCTAGAATAGATCCCTGAGGAACACCCATTTTAACACTGCATCCTTCGGACCTTACACCTTTTATTTCAACAATTTGCATTCTATTATCTAAATAGGATTTCATCATCTTTAGAGCTTCATTTTTAATACCGTAATGTTCTAATTTGAGTAAAAGTATTTCGTGATAAACGCAATCAAATGCTCTTGAGAGGTCACAGAATACACCGATAGCACCAGTGTCAGTAGTTGATTTACCGATCGTGAAACCATATTGTCGACTGTGAAGCAGTCTATTTCTTTTACAAGTGTTGAAGCATTTGATTGAACATAATTTTTTCAAACACTACTTAGTACTGGTAAGATAGATATGGGCCTAAAATTGCCTACTTCAGTTTTAAAAAGTATCCCCTGTGTTAAAAAGTGGCGTTATTTTACTATGTTTCATTAAATTGGGAAAAACTCCGTCAGAAATACATTTATTAAAATAGTTACTAAATATGAAGAATGTCTATAGAAGTATTAATAACTTTAACTGACATACCCCAATGATCTTCTGAATTTTTTAAATGTAATTGTTTAAATGTTTTCTTTATTGTAGCTAGGCTAATACATGTAAATTTAAATGTAATAAGACAAGAAACAATATTATCAATAAAAAATGGACTTGGAGATGATTCCAAAGATGAAGTAATATCAATTGGAATATTGGCACAAAAATTGTCAAATACATTTACAATAACTTTCGTAGACGTTAACAATTTATTATTAAAATTGGAAGTAAAATCATTACAGGCGGTTTTATTCTTACCAGTTTCTTTGTTTATAATATTCTACACTGTCTATATCTTATCTTTGGATTCTTATTTTTTTTATTTAGAGAATTTGATTTTGCTACAATACATACATTTTAAAATGTTTTTGAATATCTTTGACGTTATTTACAAATGCATTATCAAAATGTATTGTTTTTGTGCATATAAATCAAATAATAATAATAATCTCAGGACAATTCACACAGCGCCATCTAGACCCAAGTTAAGCTAGCTAAAGGTTGTGTTATGGGTACTAGATAACTGATACAAGTACATAGATATTTTTTTTCGTAAATACATACTTATTATACATAGAAAACACCCAGACCGATACAAACAATCATACTCATGAATACAAATGTTTGTGCCGTGCGAGGAATCGAACCCGCGACCATCGGACGTAAAGCGGTGTGCTAGACCGCTAGACCACCGAGGTCGTCAAATAATATATTTCAGCTTTTAAGAATACCCGTAGGTGCCCATTCTTAAAATTTTGTTTTTTGCTAATACTGGTTATTTTTTTGTTAAAAATTCAATTATATTCGTTAGAAACAACTGACGGTGCAGTTGATTGTCACTCAAAAAAAATAACAATGTTTAAAAACATCTATATCTATAGTAATATCGTTATGGTATCCCATGCTAATCGATTTTCATCTCTGAACAATTTAATCTAATCTATTTATTCCAAGAAATACTTACTGATTAACTTGTATATATGATGATGACATAGAATCATCATCTACTTCTAATACTTCTAATTTCTTAATATTAGTTTTTAATATCCTTATTTCTTCTTCAATTTGTTTTATTCTGTCTATATTTTTAATTCTTGATATTATATCACATTCTAATTCTTTTCGAGTAACTAGAATAGCGTTATCTTGTGCATCACTTGTCTCTGAAGTATAAGCTCCTTCATTATCACTTGACACTAAATTAGTAGTTTTATTATTATTAATCTTTTGATGTACCACTTTTAAAGGCACCAGATTATTTGCCACTAACTGGCTGTCCACATTCTTATCTGAAATTTTATCTTTTGAGTAATTACTTGTATCATTTAAATAATTGGATGGTTCCTCTGATAGGTTTTCATACAAATTATTATTTATTAAAACATTATTGTCACTTTTGAATCCTTTGACATTATCAACTTCCTCGTCTATTAAATCAATCACAACTATATCATTATTATTTAAGCTAACAGCTGGAAGTTTTACTTCTAAGTAGTTGTGTTGCTTTGTATTGTCCAGTTTTTGTCTTTTAGGTTTATTTATTTCACTACTATTAACATGATGTTCTTTGTTGACCTATGAGCAAAAAAATATATTATTATTCAATAACATCTTTATTCATGTACCTACGTCTATTACAGACTCTTATGAGATAACATATCTACCGTCAGTTCGGAGTGCTTTCGAGCTGAAAAGAATTGACAAGAAACTCAGGTCCTTCCAAATAAGGTTGTACATGTTGACAATAATACAGAATCATTATTAAATTCAAATTTAGGAGAATAGAGTGACTACCAGCATATGCTATTGCAATTTTGTCAACGGAACCCGAACAAATCAGTATCCACAATAATATTATTATTATTATAATATAGTGTCATATTCATACCCTCTACAGGTAGGATGACTATTTGCAAAATTAAAGTAATATGATTTTTAACTCTACACGTAAGTATAGAGTAGGCGTAGTAGTAGTTCTTTCGGGATATTGCTACTATGTCGGCCGAAGGGGGGCGGCGCAGGCTGGGACAATGGGCCCAGGTGGGGCCCATCCCGGTCGTTAAGCGTCGCGTTGGTGGCCCGCTCCTGCTAAGACTGCTTAAGACTAAGGTCTACTAAACAAACCCGTGGACATTGATGAACTTAAAGAAAATATCAGACGAGAAATGTCAAGCATTATAGAGTTTACTTGCCGCATTTACAATACCAAGAACTAAACGGGGCACTTTTGGATGTAGTGATTTTTAAGAAATGACTCTGTATTATTGTAGACATATACAACATTCATTTGAAAAGAATACGAGCTGAATTTCTTCTCAGTTCTTCTCATCTCGAAATCATTCCGAACTGACGGTAGATTTGACATATTATATAAGAGTCTGTAATAGACCTACATGATTAAAGATATTTTGAATTGAATTTGAATTGAAATATATTTTTTTATGTAGATTACAATACAATATAAAAATTTCGAAACTGTACAGTTTAATTTTTTTTAACTTGGGATGACTTACAGGACACGCTGTATGATTTTTAATGATTCTCCAATTTCATTTAAAATTACATTTACTTGGGCTTGTAGCTTATAATGCAGTCATAACCGGAAAGGTAGAGTGTTCATATCTAGCACATAAAATATAGGGTAGGGGTTTTTTGGTAATGGGAACAATGGGGCATATCCCATTGCTGGCATGCTGTCAGAACTAAACGCTGTCCTGGAAACCACTATTGCCAATTCCTAATTAATTGGCAAAGTTGAGGCAACTAACCCGACTTCCTGACTGACCCCTTCATCCTCCACTGGTACCTCATTAAAAAGTCCCGGACAATACATTTTTTTATAGTAAAAGTTGGCTTAAGTGCCTAACGATAAAGTATGAAGTCCACAACATACTCGCCGCCTTTGCAATTGCTTATATATATTGCACATAAAATTCTACATAAACTAGTTTTGTGGTATCTTAATAAAGCGACCACATATAGTCTGCTGTATTACTGGTTGAGGCGAAACAGGATCAGTATTTGTAGGGTTATTAGAGAAATTAAGGGTACCTCCAATGGAAAACGTTGCTTTGGTAGAACCTTTTTTTCCATTGTAAATCGTGGTACTCGAACGACATCGTTTGGTCCTAGAACACAACCGTAACTATAGTAAGCGACTACTTTAAACATTTTATTCTATAGATACAAACTTTACCTAAGACTCTTCGTAACATTACTTTCATTATTTTAATCAAGCAGTCTCAAAACCCTCCTCACCAGCTCGTAATGAAACACAACCACAATTATTAATTAAATTCGAATTAAGTGCAGTGGAATATTGTAATTTATTAGGAAATATACTGCATGAAAAACAATCTTTTTTAATTCGATATTTTTATACAATATATTAAAGTAAAGTAATAGTAAAGTATGTTGCTTAGAAACGAGTCGATAAGAAGTAAGTATAGTTCTTCACATATAAAACTTGTAATAATTGCGATCTTTTTCATTAACTGGTATTTGAAGGACCGCCTTTTTATTATTGCACCATGCCTAAATTTGATAAGCTACGAAGGAATTCATTCTATATAATTAGCATTTTTGTAGTGAGACTATACTCCCAAACTACTGTATGGTGAGCAAGATAGTGACCTGAGTTATGATCTGGTTCATTAACGACTTCTATTATAGATTAATATAACCATTCCTGAAACTGCTCATTACATTCTTTCATAATACCTAAGTGAAACAAAAGTGAAGTGTTAGATTTCAATTTTTTTTGAGCCAATTCGTAATTTGCGAATAAATTTATAGATACATCCTTCCAGGACAACTTTACCTCATACCTACCTACCCTCAATAATTGATATTGTATCCTTAAAGAATTGTAATACTTCTTTTCCTTTCTCCATTTGATTTAATTTCTAACTTCTGTTTCATCTATGATGCATATAGTTTCTAAACTCCATAAATTTTGTGGTCTAACCTATCGTAGTTTCCAAGGCAACAAGATTACGTTTATCATACACCCAGTAAACAAACTACCTAAAATATCGGTTCCTATCAAAATGCTTACTATTTTTATGTCATCAGCCGTATCATATAACAGGACATTCATTTTCTTTGATGCTTCAATGTTACACACGTACGTATTAGAAGGATCCTTAATAGTAAATTGAAATAGGTGGTTCCCGTTTCTACACTACTGCACCACCAAATAAACTATGTGTAATATGTTGTGTACATACTTGGCTTTTTTTTTAAATTATTTACAACACTACTTTTTGTATATGAGAATTCAAAGTTCAAGAGTTCGTACTGTCATGGTTTTATTATTGTACCACAAAATAACTTTGAGACTTTGTAATGAAACAGTTGTAGGTACTTGTAAGTCATCAAAGAGGACTGATTAAATAGAACTCATGTTACAGTGCTATTAATACATTCAATTCGCGAAATAACAATTTTATTATTATTGCATATTAAAGTAGGTATAAAATCTCTTTGCATAAATAATACATTTCGGGAATAATCTTCCAGACCAGGAAATTCTCTTCCAGACTATGTGATTATGTTATTATATATATTACAGATTATGTGTATTATAATTACCTGAGGCAGTAAATTTTGAAGAACTACTCTGACTATAATCTAAATCAGATATTTTAATACGTTCCTCGCTCTCGACTTTTTGCTTAATGAACTTAAGAAGGTTTTTAAAATAGTTTGACTGATCCGTTTTACAAGATTCAGTACGTTTCCAAATACGAATAAGTTCTATGGGCAGAGCGGATTCGACCAAAGGACGTAACATAGATGCGTATTTATCAGTAGTGACATTCAAACTATCTAAAGCATGCAGTTGAGTTTTAAGTTTATCATATAATACTCCAATTTGCGTAGCAGTCCCTCTTAATTGATCCTGAACTAATGTCAACAGCTCACGAATATATATTTCAATCAAAAGATCATCACGACCATATCGTTCCTTAAGTTGTTTTACAGCTTTCTGATAATGAGCACTTGAAAGAGAAAAGCTTTCTACTAGTATTGCGGCAGGAGATCCTGGTTCCATCGATTGCAGCAGGTACTGGAATTTCATATTTTCATCTATGCTGGAATCTACATGGATCTTTTGGAACATCCCCCAGAAGCCTATCCACTTCTTCATATCACCATCATAACGAGGAAGCCGCAAGATATTTTTTACAACGGTATCTTGGACGTAACTCTCTTGAATTTCAGTTCCAATATTACTTTTGCAACTTTTCGTAATAACAAATGCATTTTTATATTTTTGTTGCATTGAAAACCATATATCATCGTACTTCTCTATTGATTTAACATCCTTTTCATATTTGCTTTCGTTTCTGCCTACCAAGTCTCTCCATAAATCTAGTACTTTATTGTTAACAGCAGACAACTTTTCATATCTGGCGGTAAGATTTGCAAAATTGGTTTCAGAGGCCTCTTTATTTTTTTTAGTTATAGATTCTTCTAATTTACTTACTGCGCTACTAAAGAATCTTCGAGCTAACTTTCTTTCCTCTATAGCCTCTAAAGTCTCTATAGCCTGCATATTTTCTTATACTACACGGTCGTTTGTTTATGTGGTGGATATTATTATATTATGTTTATTTTTTGGTTCTATATGTGGAGAAAGCTATTGCATCTACTCGAAAACTATAACATATATATAAATAATATAACATAAATAATTCAATGCAAAAAGGGTAAAATATAAAATTATTATATATTTTACTTATGACACAAAGTAACAAATCAAATTATATATTTTTTATAATAAAAAAGTGACTTAAGTGACCAGCAATAAACTATGAAATCCACAACAATATATTTTGTATTTTGAACCAAACACAATAATACAATACGACTAAAACCAAGAGACTAATGGAAACTACGCCAAAAATGTATGTCTATTCAGAGATTAGATAAAAAAGTATGTTTCATATAATACAAATAATAGAGTTGGCGATTTAAGATCGATTAATCAAGTAATCGATACTTTCGACCAAACAAAAATAAATTCCTGAATCGATTCGAATCAATCAATCGATTCACAGATTAATTCACTGACCAATATTTGCTTCATAAACTCGATTCTATTTTTTGTGTTCATAAAGAGTTAGGTGAGTGGTGGTTTAGTTTCCTATTTTGTAGACTAGGCGTGATTTTGTGTAATTCATTTTATTTACGTTAAAAGAACTCGTTTACGTTAGAAGACTCTTCTTCTTAAAGAATCGCATCCCTAATAATTATTTCATGTAGGTATATTTTTTAACGTCAGACCACAGGTTAGTTGCCAAAGTCATTAGTCCACTGTCAAGTGCAGGATGTACTTATATTTTTAGCGACTTGTACAGTTATTGCTGTTACACTAAAAGTACTCATCACTGTTAGGAGTATAAGTTGTAGATATACGACCTAATTGTCTGTGTATCGATGACGATGTCGATGCTTAGCATCTTGTTGATTGTAATCTTTTTATTATGCTTATTATACGTATTTAATAATTAATATTGCTTTTTGTTCTCAACTTTATTATGGTAGCAGAGCAAATAATAACAATAGAAAATGGCCTCCTATGGAAAAATAGAACAATTAAATAAAGATAACTATGACACTTGGGTCTTACAAGCCAAAGCAGTCCTTGTTAAACAAAAGCTATGGAAATACATAATAACTTCAGAGATTCTAAAATTAAAGAAGAAGACTTGCTAGCACTATCAAAACTAATTTTATTGATGTTTGTAGCAGAAATAAAACTAATAAAAAAATGTGAAACTGCACATAAAATGTGGCAAAAGCTCAGTGAAGTATATTCGAGCAAAGGTCCGGCAAGAAAAGCTAGTATATTAAAACAACTAATTCTGAGTAGATTACAAAATGGCGAAGATATACGTTAACATTTAAACAAGTTTATGGATATAGTTGAAAGTTAAATCAAATGGACATAAATATTCATGACGATCTACTTTCAGTTATGATGCTATACTCCTTGCCACCAGACTATGAAAATTTTTAATTACGTTAATTGTTGGCATGTTAAAACTCTGGGAATTTGTTTCAGCCATCTCCAATGAGAGCGCTTGGTTATATGCTTCGCTAAGTGAAAGAGTCAAATTTTCAAGCAGCCTTTGTCTTATTTTGCTTGAAGAGAATAAAATAAAAGCATCTCTTATGCTTTCATTCTTATTAGTTTCCGCATCTACAGCAACGAACTCGCAGTCTTTAGATAGTTGTTTTAAAGTTTGCATATATGCATCAATAGATTCCTCTGTACGTTGTTTTCTAGAAGCAAGCACATGCCTAGCGTATATGATATTCTTAGGCTTTATATACAATGCATTTAATACCGCCATTGCTTCAGAGTATGTTTTACTTTCGCTGATATATGTATATACATGATTGACGAGTAACTGTAGTTTACCTTCGTCTTGGAGTAGTAGTGACATAGTAGAGACCGCTTCTTTGGCATCAATTTGCTGTTGTTGTGTTGTTGTTGCTTTTCTTTCTTTATTAATGATTCCGTATTATCAATTGTTCTTGTATGTAACTTGTGTTCAACATGTTCTAAATTTCCAAAAGAATGTTTGCAATTTATTGTATTGTGTATTTGGATGTTACTTTTATTTTTAACGTCGCCTAATTCAGATGATTCTGTGTCATTATTCGTCAATATAACGTCTGTATGAACACTATCGTTGTCTGCTTCGTTCTTTATTAACTTCTCAAACCTGAATAAAAACTCATGAATACAAATGTTTGTGCCGTGCGAGGAATCGAACCCGCGACCGTCGGACGCTAAGCGGTGTGCTAGACCACTAGACGTCAATATATATAGCGAGAATCTTAATCCTATACAGAAGCAGTAATTAAGAGAATATATTTGTAATTACGTACCTACATTTTAATGCTTATTGTAGTTAATATAATAATAAAAAAATGTAGTAGGTACGCATTGCAAGACAGATTGTCTTGGAATGCGTTGTTTTGACTCCTGGTGAAATCTTACTAATATTAGAAACACGGCGTTTGTAAATGTGCTTAGATGGATGTTTGTTAACCAAAACTAAACATGTATAAAACATATAATATTATATGTTTAATTTTATTAAAACATATAATAAAAAATGTAGCAAAAGTACATACATTTTTAAAAGTTTTTTATATCTTTTTACATTATTTACAAATGCATTATTAAAATGGTATTGTTTTTGTGCATATAACTCAAATAATATATTTCAGCTTTTAAAATACCCGTAGTTGCCCATTCTCAAAATTTTGATTTTTTGCTAATACTGGTTATTTTTTTGTTAAAAATTCTATTATATTCGTTACAAACAATATTGAAGAAATCAGTATAAAGTTTGTTTGGTTTAGGTCTAGATTGAAGATGGAAATTTAATTTACTTTGTACTGATGTTTTAAATTCATTGATCTTATAACTAGTTAAGTCTCGTTTTAATATTTCAATTTTATCAATTTTATGTATTTGATTTGGGAAGATTACTATTTGACCACAGTGATCCGAAAGATTACTAATTATTATTTTTTCTAATTACTAATTGTTGCTAAAAACATTATATAAACAAGTAGCAGACGTGGCCGTCATACGAGTGGGTTCGTGGAAGACATTACTCAAGTCAAAAGATTTAAATAAATGTATTATAGTTGTAGTGGCATTATGTATTTGATAATATGTCTACATTAAAATCACCACACACTTTTTTTTTTACTATTAAATAATCTTTTTAACATATCTTCTTCAAATACATTGTAATCACTATTGGGAGGTCTCTATACACACATAAGTAAGTAATGTTCTAATTTTACACATGAAATCTCAATAAGACACTCTATAGAAAAATATTTTTTAATTTTTAGTTTTTACAACATAAAAGTAATGTATAGTATTTTTTATTTTAGATACGACACAAAAACGTATAGGTACTTGTACCCACACTTCAAACTGACCTGCGCGATTCGATTACGTAAAAAGAGATCTTCAGGTCAACCTATTGCAAAAAAAAATTTGTGCCATATGCCCATCAGCAAAACAAAGGATGACGAAAACTAGTTACTACGAGTGTAAATCAGTGTGTGATGAACACAAACTTAATATGTGTCACAAATGTCTTAGTTCATAGTTTTTTTAGGAAAATGTTAACATTTATTTAGATTCGATGTTAAAATATTGATTATTTGACTTTTTAAGCGTTACTTTCTAGTTTTTAATAGATAAGCACTTAAAAAATCAAATATCGTTATTTGGAGCGAAAAATATGGTCTCAGTAAAAAGGCTAATTATGTAATAAACATGTGATTTAATAATAATAATAATAAATAAAACTTTTTATTGTGTGTACACAGATGAAACATGAAACAAAAGGTGGTCTTATCGCTAAAAGCAATCTCTTACAGCTATTATTTAATTAAATAAGAATGTTGTATATTTGTTAATAAATGATTATAATACAGACACAATATAAAATAAATAACTACTTTTTTTTCCTTTTGTCATGGCTTGGCACTATGGTGCATTTGCCAACATCAAAGTTTGGTAAACTATAGGACTTGGAATAGGATAGTTTTAGATTTTAGGATACGGATCAGAGGAGTTAAGGAGAGATATGAAATAAATGTTTGAAGATAATATGTTTACAATGAATATTAATGCTAATATTGAATCCATATAATGATGTTTTATATAATAAAATAGATACCAAATGAGATCATGCTTATATTTAAAATATAATAATATTATGATTAAAGCTTGTGGCGAAACGCGGCAACACCGTTGCCTAGCTACGACAGAGCAATAAAATAACAGGCCTGTCATTCCAGACCGAATCGCCTTCTTGTATATATATCAATTGTAAATACTTCTATATTATAAATATGTAAATAGTCACGATGGTTTCTCTTCACCTCTTTCTTTCCTGATGCTGCTTCTACATGAACTTTATAAATAATACCCGCTAAAAGTTTAATATTGTTGCTACTCAAAAATATGGAGATAAAACTATATATTTCTAATTTATCCATGAACAGTAATATTGGAACGGAAGTAGGTAAAGGAATCTAGAGGTAAATGAGGGATTGAAAAAGGATAGAATGATCATATAAAGGACATCTTAAAACAATATGATTCAAGTCACCCACGTCTATACCACAATCGCACACATTACTGTCCACTATTTTTAATTTAGCCAAATGTGAAGGTGGCCATGAACTCATGTGGCCAATCTCATCCTTATAAGAGATGTCGTTGCGCGTTTGCTAAGCTTAACACAATAAAACCAAGGTTTGACCGGAATTTTGGGTTGAATATTAAAGTAATGTCGGGCCTTGGTTTGGCATCTAATAGGCCAAGTCTCATTCCAGGCATCCCGGAGATAAGAGACAGGCAGAGCCGCTAAATCATGACTATAATTTTTATAAGGAAAAACATCGACGCACCCAATAGCTTCATTAGTCAGTCTATCTGCAGTCACATTCCCTTGAATACCTGAATGATCAGGTATCCAAAAGAAAGAGACTACATACCCTTTTCAAATACACATCTGTAGTCATTTTCTAGCATCAATAAAGACGGGATACACTTCGTTAGATTTGAACGGAGCTTTTTGTAATGCCTGTAAAGCACTAATGGAGTCACTAAATATTGCTGATTGTTTAAGTTTCATAGTTAAAATGTAATCTATGGCTTTGAACTAAATAACCAACTATTAGGTGTGCATATTGACAAATCTGGAGCACTAATGCCTTCATTGGGTGCTGTACGACGTATAGGTGTGCCAGTGTTTAAAATGCATAGATTGTGAATGTCTACTATGTCTAAAACCTCATTACCATAACAGTTATTGTTTGAACTACCCCAATATTGATGTTGCGCATTAAAATCGCCTAGAATTAAAAATGGTTTAGGCAGTGTAGAAATTATGGAATTAATTTAATTGAATATTGATATGGATAGATGTGGAATATATACCGAAACATAACATGTATTATCAATTTTAACAGCAATAAGCGAGAAGTTATTATTGTGATTTAAAGTAGGTATATGGGTGAATGCTGAGGGATGCCCGATTAATATGGCAACCCCATCATATCCATCAGTTCTATCTTCTCGTAGACAGGCATAACCAGGTATCTTAAATAAAGATACCGGTTTCAGCCAAGTCTCTTGAAGAGCACAGATAAAAGGATAAGTATTAATTAAATAAAACAAATCACATTTTTTGGTAGTTATACTGCGGCAGTTCCACTGGAGAACTTTGGCTTGTTTGTTCATTATTGTTGTTGTTTAAGATATTAATAAATGCATTAGTAAGTGAAGCAATGTTGGACGGTTGTAATAAGTTACACTGGGTTAATAAATTTAAAAGAGCTAGTATTATTTCAGAAATTGATTGTTTCGATTCATTTTGCTGTTTATAACCACATCTGCTGGAGCAGGTGGACTGTAGTCTTTAATTAAATCAGCATATTCCTCACGATTAAAATCATATATTGGTTTTGGTGGTTGACAAGACTTTTCTATAACTGTATTTTTATATGCTCTATGCATAAGTGCGGGAATTGCATAGTGATTTTTATCCTGGTTAAAACTAGTAGAATTATTTTTATTTACTGGATTAGATCGACCTATCAGCATATGGTTTCATAGCAGGAGGATGTAATTTACTGGCTTCAGCGTAAGATACACAGCTTTTTGCCATTGTCTCTTTAATAGCGTTTTGTAACCTTGGCATAAACAGCATGAAAAGTTATCTTCTTCAACAGAACAGGATTTACCAGTATGGCCCTTGCCACATTTATAGCATCGTGGTACAGATCTACATTGGTTCTACATGTCCATATTGACAGCAATTATAACACTGAATAGAGGGGTAAATATAGAAATCAACAGATCTGGAATTAAGGACACATAAAAACTCGTTTGGGTAGTACCTGTCCATCAAAAGTTATGACAATCGTTTCTGTCTCTATGAATTCAGATATCCCATTAACAAATGTTTTTCTATGATATGAATAATCTATTCCTGCCAATTTTTTTAAGACTACGATCAACAACAACATTTTTGTAAAAGCTTTTCTTAAGATAACGGCCAAAGTCTGTTGGGTGAAGCGTAGTTTTATTATCCGGTGAAGACACAATCTTTTGAATAAGAACTATGAATGGAGCAGCTTCATGGGACTGGTAGTAAACTCTACTAATAGAAGTTTGTGGGCGAGTTGAATCATTATCCTGATTATTTATTAGAAAAGAATCAGGGTTAGAAGTTTCTTGCATATCCTCATTATTTACTAAAGATGTATTGGAAGTTTCTTTCTTTTCATTAAATTCATCGCATAGACATAAATATTTATTTTTACTAGTATCAGCACCTCGATTCCTCCTACGTTTATTGCAATGCTTGCAAATAATCGCTATTGCAGATTTACGCTTACGTTTAGTACCCGAATGATCAGATAAATTAAATGAACAGTCTGTGTCCATGGAATCTTCATTATTACTTATAGTTACGTGTAGAGCGACCTCGGGACGGTACCCCCGGGGTCCTCCGGTGGGTCCATATACAATAAAATACAGAGACTTACCTAATTTTGCTGCTACTAATAAACTAATGAATAATAGATAAATGAATGTAATGAAAAATACACTATTTACAACTTATCTGATCAATATTCAAATATTAATAATTTACTACTCAAATAATACGACAGCCAAACTTTGTGTTTCACGCCCTTTTTTTTTCAAATAACTACTTTATTCAGTAAAACCTTATAAACCTACTTTTTGACAGCGTAGTTAAAACGACGAAGGTTAGTAATAAATGTTGAAAAATAAGGTTAGTCTTCTATTGTTAAATCAATTATATCTTTCTTATTGAAATTAACAGCTGGATGTTCTATTTCTTCTTCCGTTTCATTGTCCAGTTGTTGTATTTTATATGTATGTACTTGATTCTTATGGCGATGACCTTTGTTGATCTATGGACAAAAAAAAATATATTCAATCATATATACGAATTCATGTACATGAGATAAGGAATCTACCGTCAGTTGCTGAGTGCTTTAAAATGCAAATAACGCTCAGGAATAGGGCGCGTAATGCGGGGGGACTACCAACGATCTTTCAGAATTCAGTCATTATGGAGCGTTTCACTGGAGCGGACCGTGCTCTTTGTATGTGAGAGTTTTACTGCAACAATGATTCGGCTACCGTTTCGCAGCGTAAATTTTGAGAAGATCGTAAATTACGCAGGTTAATGACTGTCCTAGAATTTAAATGATTAAGAACTGGGTTCACAAACACAAACACCAGGAGACTAGTTCTACGTCGGATAAACATCAACTAGGCCGACCAAGGACATCACGGTCGGTCAAGTTGCAGAATTATCCAGGCTTCAATACCCAGTTATATTCCATAATCATCGATAATAAAATGTCCCTGACTGACAAATACATATTTTCAGAGTAAAAAATGGCTTTTATGTGGCCAACAATAAACTATGAAGTTCACTTTGCAATTGCCTATATAATTTGTACATAAAATTCTATATAAACTTAAAGACCTAGTTTTGTGGTGTCTTAACAGACCGACCACATATTATAATCTGCCGTGTTACTGGTTGAAGTGAAACAGGATCACTATTTGTTGGGTTAGGCATTAGAGAAATTAAGGGTACCTTCAATGGATATAAACTTTGGTTTGGTCGAACCTTTTCTGCCATTCCAACTGGTGGTACTCGAACGACATCGTTTTCTCCTAGAACACAACCGTAACTACAGTAAGCGACTACTTTAAATATTATATTCTATACAAGCTTTAACTAAGACTCTTGGTAACATTACTTTTATTATTTTATTCAAGCGAATCCCAAAACTCTCCCCACCTGCTTGTAGGGTAACGAAATACAACCATAATGTTAATTAAATTCTAATTAAGTGCAGTGGAATATTGTAATTTATTATAATGCATAAAAAACAATATTTTTTATTTCGACATTTTTATATTATATATATAGTAAAGTTTGTTCCTTTAACTTTGTTAAGTTTAGAAACGTGTCTACAAGTTAAGTATACTTTTTCACATACAAAACTTTTAATACTTGTGGTCATTTCCATTACTGGTATTATTCCTGTAAAACCGTGCCTAAATTTGATAAGCAACGAAGGAGTTAATTTAAATTGTATATAATTAGAATATATTTCTAAACAGTCATTCAATGACAAGCTTTCTTTAATAATAAACGCAAAATCATCGAACACAGGCCGCATTTTTGTAGTAGGTATACACTGTCTTGCTCACCATACAGTATTCCGGGAGTAGTCTCACTCCAGAACTACTGTATGGTGAGCAAGATATTGTGCCGAGTTATAATCTGGTTCATCAACGAGTTCTCTAATAGATAAATATAGCCATTCCTGAAACTGCTCATTATACTCTTTCATAATACCTAAGCGAAACAAAAATAGTGTTAAGTTTCAAAAATTTTTTGAACTAAGTCGTAGTTTACGGGTAAATTTAGAGATACCTATGTAATTCCAGGACAACTTTACGTCATATCTATCTCCCTCAATAATGGTTGTATCCTTAAAGAATTGTAATACTTCTTCAATATATTATTATAGTAATAGTCAATTCATGACTACAGCACCAAACAATTTTTTTCTCAAATTAATTACAACACTACTTTTTGTAGGTAGGTATATGTGTGTTCAGGGCGCTCAATCTAACGGAGCTTGTACAATCATGGTTTTATTTTTATACCACAAATTAACTTTGAGAGTTTGTAATAAAACAGTACTTGTAGTCATCAAAGAGGACTGATTAGATAGCTCGTGTTACAGTACTAAATTCGTCGAAATAACGATTTTATCATTATCGCATATCGGCATTATTATATAGTATAAAACAAAGTCGCTGTCGCTGTCTGTCCGTCCCTATGTATGCTTAAATCTTTAAAACTACGCAACAGATTTTAAGCGGTTTTTTAAGAGATAGAGTGATTCTAGAGGAAGGTTTACATATATATATAATACATGTACACCCGTGCGAAGCCGAAGCGAGTAACTAGTTAAAATATAAAGTCTCTGCATAAATAATATATTTTCGGGAATTTTCTACACCTTTTAGCTACATGTATGCCCCGATTGAAAATACAGATAAATATAGCACGCTTAGGGGAGCGTGGGGTACAGTGGTTATTTTATTTACAAGTGCTATAACTTCACATTTTCAACCCTACATTCATCAGTGACAGTCAGTGGTTTATTGAAAACCTAAAAGATATATTTAAGTTTGAAACAACAATGCAAAAATAGCTTTACAAATATTTAGTAATAAGATAATAAGTTTTTTTATGAAATGGCAAAGTATCCACTGTGACCCATTTATGGGGCACAATAGGTAATGGCTATTTAAAAATATGTTTATTATAACATTGTAAGTTGTAAGTGCTTCTCTTGGATATCAGTGAAAAATTTTCGCTCTGAGTAATTTGGTGTAATATCTGTGCAGAGTCGTGTACGGAATATTCATAAATTTAGCTACAGGTTTATTTTTTTACAATGCAGATATTTTAAATAATTTGTGCTTCCATATGCAGACCAATATTGATCTTCCTTTTCCTATTCTGTGACATTTAAACCTACAAAAAAAATATTATAACCTGTCACTGTACTCAAAATGATACGCTGTACCCCACTGATAGATATGCGATTTAAAACATCGAAATATTTATTTTATTTGCTAAGTAAACAAATAATACTAATAAAATCCCTCTACATTAACCATAGAACCATATAACATTAACAAATAATTAAATCTTGCAAAATCTTTGCACATAGAAAGGCAACATGTTTTACAAAAACATGTAAAAAAATATTTTTATCTTACTTGTCGACTAGTTTAACTTACTTTATTAACATAGCGACTAGTTAGGACGCGGAAGAAATGTAAGAACGACAACGTCGCGGAAACGCAAGTGTTTGTGTGAACATTGATCAAGCTACAATGATCTATCCACTGTGACCCGCGATCCACTGTACCCCACGCTCTTACTCCTTGCGTTGATCTAAATTCATTTTCATAGCATTCGTAGACTCCGAGCTCACATACGATGGCTTGTCACAGAAGATACAAGGCTTCATAATGTCAGGTTTAGAATTATTATGTGTATTATTTTTACTAAGTATTATAATTACCTGAGGCAGTAAATTTCGAAGAACTACTTTGACCATAATCTACTCTGACTAAATCAGAAATATTAAAACATTCCTCGCTCTCGACTTCTTGTTTAATGAAGTTAAGAAGGTTATTAAAATAGTCAGACTGATCCTTTTCATAAAATTCAGTCTGTTCCCAATTACAAAGCAGTTCTATGGGCAGAGCGGATTCGACTAAAGGACGTAACATAGATGCGTATTTATCAGTAGTGACATTCAAACTATCTAAAGCATACAGTTGAGTTTTAAGTTTATCATATAATACTCCAATTTGCGTAGCGCTCCCTCTTGTTTGATCCTGAACTAATGTCAACAGCTCACGAACATATATTTGAATCAAAAGATCATCACGACCAAATTGTTCTTTAAGTTGTTTTACAGCTTTCTGATAGTTAGAAGAAAAGCTTTCTACTAGTATAGCAGCAGGAGATCCTGGTTCCATCGATTGCAGCAGATACTGGAACTTCATACTTTCATCTATGCTGATATCTTCATGGATCTTTTTGAACTTCCCCCAGAAGCCTATCCACTTCTTCACATCACCATCATAACGAGGAAGCCGCCAGGTATTTTTCACAACGGTATCTTCGACGTAACTCGCTTGAAATTCAGTTTCAATGTTACTTTTGCAATTATTAAATACATTTTTATATTTCAGTTTCATCGTAAACCATATATCTTGGTACTTCTCTATTGATTTAATATCCTCGTCATATGCGCTTTCGTCTCTGTTTTTTAAATCTAGCCATAAATCTATTATTTTATTGTTAATAGTATTCAACTTTTTGTTTCTGATGGTAAGAATAGAAAAATTGGTTTCGGAGGCATCTTTATCTCTGTTAGTTAAAGATTCTTCTAACTTACTTACTGCGCCATTAAAGAATCTTCGAGCTAACTTTCTTTCCTCTATAGCCCTCTGCATATTTTCTTATACTACAGGGTCGTTTGTTTATGCGGTGGATATTATTATATTATACAGTATGTTTATTTACATCTACTCGAAAACTATATACATATATATAATAAATCGATGCAAAAAGGGTAAAAGAAAATTATATATTTTCTTATGACACAAAGTAACACATCAAATTATATATATTTTATAGTAAAAAAAGTGACTTAAGTGGCCAGCAATAAACTATGAAATCCACAAAATATATATTTTGTATTTTAAACCGTACACAATAATACAATACGACTAAAACCAAGAGACTAAAGGGAACTACGCGAAAAATTTATATCTTGTTAGAGATTAGATACAAAAGTATTTTTCATATCTATATTAATAATTTCGTCAAGGGGTACGGTAGACTTGAATGAAACCTTATGTGAATAACAAAACAAAAAAATATTGATTTCGAGTCGACAACATATATCCGCAAAATTCGGATTATGGAGTATTTCGTTAAATTCAATGACACTGACAAACAAACCGCAGTCGCCATCTTTTCATTTCACTAGTATTTTCTTCGGTCGTTGACGTTTCGCGAAAATATTGTTTTTGACACTTTTTTATGATAAAAGGGTATGTGTTTTTTCTTTAAACCTGAAATTGGCCGATTGCGAGACAAATTTGGCAATTTTTTTTATTAATTTGTTTCACGGCTCTGGATACAAGTTCTTTTTAGCCCAACTTAAAGTTTTACAAAAAAATAAAAATTATTTGTATAAAAACTTTTGCACTTTTTATTTAATATATTTATTAAACACAATGAACGAAGGTTTATAAATCTATGCCTTGCTTACTTTTAATATTCCTTGAGGACCATGGAAAACCAAAACCTAGCACAAGCATTCTGTACTCTCTGTATCAGGTTTTTAGTACGGACCAATGTACATTGTCCATAAACAGCATCAGCGTAATTGAATTTGGATAATATCAAAGAATCACAGAGTGTCTTACGCAGATCTTCACAAACAAGGTTACGTACACGATACAGCACTTTTAATCTATAAAAACAATTACATCCAACGGTTCCATCGAAAATTACACCTAGATTACGGGCTTCATTCGTTTGTTGTAGAGGAATATATATACTGGATACTGTGGGCTTATAAGACGTGATCTGTTTAATTTGATTTTTACTGCCTAGCAACATAAATTTTGATTTAGCTGGATTTAATGTAAGATTATTGAGTTTCGCCCATTCAATTATTCTATTCAGATCTTTATTTAACTTATATGTAGCTGAATGTGTTTCTGTAGGTTTAAATGTAATGTATAACTGCAGATCGTCTGCATATAAGTGATAACTGCAATGTTTAATACAATTAATTATGTCGGCGGATAATATAGCTTATTTATGTATATTTTTATATTTGTAATTTATCCTATTCCTCACCTTTTACTATCAATGAACCCTTTTGATCCTATACCAAATTCCGTATCCTAAATTTATTTATGTCATATTTATTTATGTTTATGTCTTTGGCAAATGCGCCAAACCACAAAAAGAAAAAAACATTTTCTCGACCCACCAACAGCAGGGCAAGCAACCCTTCAAATTCAATACATAGATGTTACGGATGCCATTTTATCCTTTAAACCAGGTTCGGCTGCAAGTTGGATGGAATCTCACCCTAACATTTGAAAGACCTAACATCGCATTCTGTGCATAATAAACTTTATGTATTCTGGTAATGTCAATCCAGAAATTGTTCCCATTCTTTTCGGCGCGAAGCGAACCTCATCGCCCTCACCAAAAAGGACGGATGGGTGAGACCAATTGCTGTTGGATCAACACTACGACGTCTGGCCTCCAAAATTGCTGAGGATGTGAGGTAGCCGTCCATTTCCTACGCTCTTTCCTAACTAGCGGACAGCCTGACGTGTTGCTCAAAATTGATGTCAAAAATGCATTCAATTCGGTAAATAGGGATACCCTCTTAACGGAAATAAACACACTGGAAATATACAATTATCTTCTCAGTTACGCTGACCCAACAAAATTGTTATATCATTCTAATGAACTATTCTCGGAAGTAGGTTGTCAACAGCGTGATCCCCTTGGGCCTGCAATTTTTAGTTTGGCTATAAATCAACGTTTGAACGACGACGACGAATCCCTAGGAGATGATGGATACTGTGTTTTCGGACCTTTTTTTAACAAAAATAAATTTGAAGCCATTGGTTTGGAGCTTAAATTTAGCAAATGAGAACTTTTTATAAATAACTGCGATTTAAATTTAAACGACGTAACACAAAAATTTAATATTTTGACTCCAAATATTAAAATAGTTAACGGTTTTCCCTTACCTAAACGGTAAGGGAAAACCGTTTCTCCAATTTTTGTTGAATCTATTTCTGAATATATAATATTCAATTGCTAAATTTCAAAATTCTGCTGACCATCTACTTGAAATCAGTCCACATTATGTACTTGCATCTTAAAATTCTGTCTTTTCATCCCAAAATTTATGAATGTGCTCCGTTGCTGCTCCTTCTGGAAATACCCAGATCTTTTGACACAAGTAGACAATTTAATCAAAAAAATTATCGGTTCTTAATATGCAACTGAACGAGCAATCTTGGACCCAAGCATCCTTACCCATTCATTATGGTGGTTTAGGGATTCGTAAAATTTCCTCTGTAGCTTTACCAGCTTTCCTATCTTCTGTCCATAGTTCAGCAAATCTCATAAGTAAAATTAAGGCCATGCCATTCAAACTTTGAGATTGCTGGCTTAGAGAAGCAAATGGCATTTTAATATACCTAGAGTCGGTATTTATAATACCTATATCTATAACTGAAGGTAGTACCTATATAGAATACGTGTCGTCAAAAATTATAAACAAATATTAAAACCCAAATTTGTAAAAATATTTTTTTTGTATGTCTGATAGTAGATTTTTCTATCAACTATTTCGCATTACAGTTATTATTGCAAAACTACATACTTTTCAGTAAGAATGAAAGAAAATATACTGGATAAATATTTATTTAGTTAGAGAATACAGTTAATTAAAACTGTACATTGTGAATTAAAAGCAACACTGCGATACGGCTTGTTGCTTCAATACTGAATGTTACAATATGCCTTAATTTAAAAAATACACTTTCTTTAATTTACATTATAAAATATAAGCAATAAAAATGCAATTCGTAAATAATAAGATGGATGATTTGGGTAAATTACTATTTTACAATGTGTTTATTTTACAATAGTTCTACTCACAAGTCACACTTTACATAGAATTCGGGAATAGTTCCTATTACGACTTTAAAATAGAGAAATATACTATTTTTCAAAGCACCACAGAGGTCGCTGATCACTAAATCTAAGGAATTAATTTTTCAATACAATCTCAAATACATCTTTACATTTATAATGTCTATAAGAAAAAACTTCAGCTTTACATAATTTTAACATTAGGACGACCAAGAACTATTAAAATTAGTAAGTGGTACAGTATAGTGAGTCCTTGGTGCCGTCAGACACAATTAATTAACAGTCTAATGGCTGAATCTTCCTTTTCTGTTATTCTTCTACTTATTTATGTTTATCTAATAAACCCAATATCTCCACCTCGTCTGCAAAAAATATACAATAGAGATTAAAATATAATATCAGGATCAATCATCAGTTGGGATGAAACTAAATATCGAACTCATAAATCCTAACTGTTTGGGATAGACAATGCATTGGTACAAAAGTCTAAAGAAACTTAATCAGTTTGCAGTTATACACATAAATTTTGTAGAACAATATTTATAAAATAACATAGATGACAGACAATATATTTTTTGTTTATTTTTTATCTGCAATCAGTTTATGAACCATAAGCAGATTTTATATACAGACGAGATATACATTTGAAACATGTCCTAGATATTTTCATTCAAACTGTTAAAATACAGTAATATTTTTATTGTGTGAATAACCAACAATTATTGTCACCATTTAGTTACGCATTTATATAAGGAAATAAAATACATGTAACTTACATTCTATAGTGAAATAGGAATTTATTAAGCTATTCCTTGTCATTTCTAGAATTACTTCCAGAAGGGTTATTACATCTATTTATAATACATGTATACAACTTCCATCACATGGTACATCCTTATGAAGTCGGTTGGATTACTAGTCTAGTAAAATTTACATTGTAGGTAGAGTGTGATTCTCAGTAGAATTATCGTCTCTTTAGGAGGTCCTGATTAGACATCGGGTTCCAGTAACCTACGCCTTTCAAGGCGACGTATGTTGTCAGGGACTATTAGTTGATTGGCCAGCATGTTACGATGATTTACTAGCCGTGTTAATTCTAATTACATTAAAAAAATGACTAACCTGGATACTAATCGTTTGGCCGTTCAGTCAGCGCGTGCGACGTGGCGGCGCTGAAGGGCTACGGCCAAATCGTGCTGCAGCGCTGCTGTTCGCCGGGCGACATCAGCTGGCACCACAGATCGTAAGCCGTTAACGATGTCTTTTGTTTTGCCTAGAACAAGAGATTATTTTCAGGATTTGTTACTGCAGTCTTTGAATGGTTTTCAATAACGTTTGTTGTAAAGTGTTTGTAAGTTTATACAATACAAGTGTGTAGTCTGAAAAGATTACATTGGATTTTACGAAGATTTCGATTATATATTGGTTAGAGTGAGTGAACAGGTGAGATTGCGGTCAAACGCGCTCCAATTATGATATAAAAAAAAAAATTCTACACTTTAATTTTAGAGCATTTAACATTGGATTTATAAATTGATGAAATAAATTAAATAATTCATGATTGCTATTAGTTGTGTGGCTGTATAGATCTTGGATATTTATAGACAAGTTTACACAACCCATAATGAGAAAAAAGGGTACATAAATAAATATAGGGTTCATAAATTCAAATAACAATATGTGTATTTTTAAATATCAGTTTGAAGAAATTTTGAGACAAGTTTAAAAGTGTATGTATTATGATTTAAGTATATTTAAAGACAGACACAGAAGACAACTGGAAACGTGGAAATCCTTACCAAAATAAATGTCATTGAGTGTATTCCTGATCTTGTTCTCCATATCCTCAACCATGCGTCCAATGTTGATGATGTGGGGTGTTACATCACTCACAGACGAGTCTTGCTCAGCCTAGATCAAAATACAAATGTCACATTATATAAGTAAACTCAAATGTAATGTAAACAACATTTATTCTTTAGGTGATTGTGCCTAAAGATAATATAAACTTTCTCTAATCTAAGAAATATAATTAAAAGAAACATTTCAATATTAAACAGTAAATTTTAGTAAACATGAAAACCTTATAACACCAACAGAATAGTTCATATATATATATTCAGCTATTTGTTTGTACATAAAACCAATATTAGTTTGTTATTTTGATGCCAAAAAAAGTTGATGTTTTATTTAGATTTTTTTTTTATTCTAACCTAATATATACTAGATGAATATAGTAATACAAATATTGAAGTCTTACAACATTAACACAAATTTGTATTGCTTATTACTTTAGAAACCAATGGAAATCATTGGAGGAGGCTTAAACCAAAAAGCTTATTGACTTTACATTATGTAAAATAGATTTAAATTTAGAAGCTATGATTCTTAATATTATTATGTAATTGAGTGGCTAACAAGATGATGGAAAGTGGTAACTGTTACGTGTCACCTATATGCATGAACATCGCATTATCATGTGATATCCACACATCCAGTGGACTAATATGCCAAGCCTCATATCCCATAATTTCTCTATAATATTCCAATACTTCAATATACTATACTACACAGTTTACTGTATTAATACTACAATCTTCGGTAAGTTGTAGGGTGCACTTGGAAATTTTATTTTATGAGTTACACTAATTTCCAAAATGATGGTTTTTATTATTATGATTGTTCTTATATACCTGTCGAGTGAGACTGCCCCCCAGATTCATGGTTCCACTGCCTTCCTTATTAGTCTGTAGCCACAGCATCGCTGTTGAAGTCAATTTGTAATGAGCATTTCGACCTGAACTCTTTTCAACTACCTCAACTACATGAATAGAATCCCAGCATCCTTTGATCTTTTGTGAGCCATCTCCAGCTTTTTTTATCAATATTACACCTGGAAAATAAAAATTACACAACTGTATTTCAAATAAAAATATACCAAATTTTTAAGGATGAATAATTAATTGGTGTAACAAGTACAAGTACTCCCTAGGTACACTACCTTACCTGGTGTACTAGCTCCAGAGCTATTCGCTGTATATGCAGGGAGCCAAGTATGTGCCATGCCTTTTTTTACTTTATGTGGATATTTAGTGCAACCCAGGCAATCAGTTACCTAATTGACCTATATAACTTAACAGCCCCTTCATGTCCACTTATTACAATACTATAATCATCACTACGTAGTATAAAACAAAGTCGCTGTCTGTCTGTCCCTATGTATGCTTAAATATTTAAAACTACACAATGGACTTTGAAGCTGTTTTTTTTTAAATAGAGTGATTCAAGAGGTTTGTTATACATATAATACAAGTAGACCCATGCAAAGCCGGGGCGAGTAGCTAGTATGGTATAAAATGTCTAAAATTAATATAATAGCCAGTTGATACAACATTGAACAATGAGGATAAATATAAAATGCCTTAGAAAGTAATAATAAAATATGACTTCTATGATGATAAGTGTATTTTCAGACAATTAAATTAGGTAGGTAGTCATCAAAAGCAACACAGACATGACTTTATCTCTATGTAGATGATAATAAGGGTTTAAACTATTTATAACAAAGAATGAAACATAAATTGATGTGTAACCAGTTCTGAACTAATTTTCCTTATAACAGATTGTGTAGTCACGCAATGTCTACATTGAAAATGCACATTTTTGTTAACATCAAGAAATAACAAGATAATATTTACTGATAAAATAGTGTCCACAGATACCACTTATGGTTAAAACAAGATAAGAAACAAAAAAAAAACAAACCTGCAAATCCATGGTCCATGTCCCACAAGTACACAGAGCTTACACCACCCTCAAAGTACATTTCTCTGTATTGATCAAAAGCGTAATTTGCTTCTACCTCTAATTTCCTCAACTTTTCTGATGGCATAGATCCATCTTCGAGTGGAGGGTCATAAGTGTTCGACCACGGTGATCTGTACGAGTCCCCATCACGATTGTAATCACATAAAAGATAATCTTTCCCCGTATTACGGTCCTGTGCTATTTTTAAAGGCTGATCGACAGAAGACAGCAAATCCTCACATAGACTGGGTACTAAATCTATTAGATCTGTCAAATTTTTCTCAATTTGCTGCGGGGGCAACCTTCGCATCAAGTCAAGAGCACAATCCATTTGCTGATCAGTCTGAAATATAAGAAGGAAACATTAAAAAGGAATGGTTTACTTTATTAGTCATCACAACATTTGATAACAGTTCGTATTACGACTGTCGAAATAAATGTTACTGACCATTTTAAAAGGTTAGTGTAATACAAAATAAAATTAAAACTATGCTGAAAATATATTTAAATTCTGGAAATGTTTTATAACAATAATAGAGAAAACTGTATTATCAGAACACCCAATAGTACAAAAGAGGTAATACAACAGTAAAACACAGATTAACAGAAACGGTATAAACTAAATAAATACTTCTCTAACTGTTTTAATCTCGTTTACCAGCAGAGAGAGAGGGACAGGACATCTACGAAACTACTCTGTGACAATGACAACTTAATTAGGCTTGACATGATGACATGTTGCTTGACAACCAGCTCTGCGTTTTATTGTTCAATTCTAAATACGTTGCACTTATCTATGTTAACATACCTAATTAACTTGAATTCATGACATGGAGGAAGACTACATTTAAGTAGTTAAAGTAAATCTTTGAAGATAAATATAAAAAAGAATTTGATTGCGTAGTGCACTTTTAAAATATTTTTATTTTTACATTGTGGATGTACCTAGTTCCTATACATAGTGTTAATTTGCGTTTAGTTTAAGCCCATTCAAGACAAACACAGCTTGTAACGGAAACAGCTGGCTACGTCATTGATTTTGAGTTCTGACATTGGCTGAACACCAAGACGCCGGTACATTTTTCTCTTTTACTCGTATTCAATTGCTTCATATGCTTGAAAAAGTTAGCAATAACATTAGCATTTTATCCCGTTGCTGTCACCGCTACTTCCTACCAAATGTCAGATTGTCAGTCAGTTTACAGCTTTATTGTTTTGTCAAACTTTTGTTGATATTACTTTATTACGATTATTGTTGTAAAAGTATTATTTCTACACTTTTATCAATGGGAATATAATTGCATTTTTTAACAACGAAACGTGTCTGGATTGTATCTTGGTAGAAACACTTTCAAAGGTTTGTATTTTGAAGTTAATCAAACACTTGAGTGAATCATAAAACGAGTACGTTACTTGTGATAATGTGCCTCAGCACCTATTATAAACCTCTAAACAGGAAATGAACTGCAATTCATGACCATGGCTATTGTTAATTTAACGCTAGTTAAGTTTGTGTTAGATAATCTCCCTACAAAATAGGTTATGATGAAGTTGACTTAAGTACTTACAGGTAGTTACCAAGATTGGTGAAACCATATAGAGTGCATAATTATACCTTACAAGCATTGTTTTAACACTGTATGTATGTATATATTAAGTTATAATGATACAATAGAATAGACAAACATTTTTTAATTCATATCTTGCTTTTATGTTTTCTTATTGTGAGTTGTAATTATTTTGCATTCAAAAATTTTTATAATGTAATGACAAATAAGTTAACGGTCCTGATGGTGAGCGATAACCTTGTAACACTGATACCACTAATGCATTGTCATTCTAGAGGACAAAACTGTAGTGCCTCTATATTCTGTAATTTCTCTGCCTTATCTGCACTGTACTTAAAACACAGCTCAAGCTGTAATAATCTTAATAATCTTCTTTTCTCAAATAATAAACTAATTAATACAATTGCTGCTTATAATAAAATAATGAAGTAATAAATGTGACAAAACCCTCAATAACTCACTTATTTCAATGTTATTGATCTTTTTAATTGAATAAAGCAATAAATATGTATTTATATGGTAAAATGATTTCATAAAAAAGTATTATTATAAACTTTATCGTATAAATAATAAAAACATTTTATTTTGGTTTCACAGATTCTGACTTGCGGCATTCTGATTAGACTGCCATGATGCCTACTCAGTTGGTGAGTCAGGACAACCATGCAAATGATGTGCGAGTAAAGACTGTATACAGTGGTGGTGTTATGATTACATACATCAAACACAACATCACCCTTGATGAGTTCACCCAAGAAATGGTGGCTATGTGTCGGTTTCCACCTGACCAGGTTAGAGATAACTTTTTATATGCTTATTTAAAGACTATGGGAAGAAATAGTTAAAACTGTAGGGTAACTATGGACCAGAATCACTTAGGACAGAATATAATGAAAAAGATAACAATTAGGAAGCCTTTGCTTGGAAGCAAGCAGATGACCAAGAACTGTTACATGTAGTGTAAATGGCAAAAATAAAATTATACATAAAAATGTTACATCTGAATAAACAATTTATTTATTGTCTTAGATAAACTACAGACTGTCTGTCTTATTGATATTATATGTAACACCTTTTTTTTAACATCTGGAGATTTTCACACACTTAATTTAATTAAGATCCTTCATTTCTGAAAATTGAACAAAAAACACTTAAAATATTAGTATTGACTATAGTGCCCTGGTTTTACAATTTAAGCAGACCCTTTTATGGTTGACTAACTTTAGTATTTTTTATCATACTATATGTTGCTTCATCACACATTTATACTGTCATAATATACATTTATATTACTATATATACTAAATGCAAATAAATTGAATTAGTGTACATTGTATGTGTGTGTGTATTTACATTTATCTAGTCAGGCTGTTAGGCACTATTGCCGAGATTACAAAGATTATGGTTGTCCTAATTAATAACAAGAAGGAGGCATTGGTGTTTGGTTAGATATACTTGTTTTCTTGCTTATAACTGTGATTGTGTAACTCTTGCTGTAATAATCTCAGCACAATATATCATTAATAATACATTAAAATGAGGTACAAGATATTAATTTCTCATATTTTTTAACAATATAATAATTGTAGATGATTAGTCTTGTCAAAGACTTTATTTATTTACTACAATATATTTCCTTTCTCTTATCAGTAGTCGCCAAACTAGGTCAGACCTGTATCTTGGCGGCTGGAATAAAATTTTATAGTAGATTATATGTAATTAGATAATTTTGTATTTTTAATAATAATTAAAGATACATCTTTAATTTACTATTATTAAAGAATTCATTTATTTTTTAGGTGTTTACTATGAAATGGGTGGATGAAGAAGGAGATCCCTGCACTATATCCACGCAGTTGGAGCTCGACGAGGCACTGAGGCTGTATGAACTCAATCGGGACTCGGAGTTAACTGTACATGGTATGTACCTATTATATTATTAATATAGCTTTATTATTCCACATGACTATGAAAATATATATATTATTCTTAGCATGCAAATCTAAGACAAGTAAATAAAGCTGTAGGAATGTACCAGAGAGTAACTAGAATATGGTATGCATAGGCAATTCAGTCTTACATATTAGTTCTGATATTTGCCTGTACTCTGTTGTCAGTTATCTCTCTGTCATTTTATATAGTAAATAATTGCATGTATTGCTCCCCCCATAGTGACCTAAGGTCGCTGTGGAACACAGGCCAGGTCTTACATTATTATAAAGCTTTGTAATTTGTATTCACATGTTTCGACTTGTAAAATGTGAACTTACAAGGATTGTTTAAAAGAGGAACACACAAGTTTCTTGCTTATTCTTCTTGTTATGAGACAGCTTTATAAATAAGCGGTAGATTTAAAAAAAAATTGTTGACTAATCAAAAGTGCTTAAATTAAGTTTATTTGAATAAATGATTTTCTATTCTATTCTATTTATTATACTTATAAAGTTTTTTATTTAGAGGACCAAATTCTAAATTGTTCACTTCTGGAATGAAGTCGTTCTCGATTCATAGGTGTTCATGGCTTCAGCAGATTACAGGGTTGTTGAAATTATAGATTTTGCTTATAGTTTTGAAGTTATTGGGTAAATACTATGATAGATTACAATTTTTGTGGAGTGAACAAAATTACGTTAGATCGATCGAATAGATTTTTAAAGTCTGTACGTTACGTTACGTATTATAATTGGATGGGTGTGCGCTCCAATCAGAACGCTCCCTTTGTGTTGCGTTTTGTTGCTGCTTGTACGCGACAAGTATATATCTTATAACAATTCCCTGGTTTCCTTAATTGCCCACATATACACAAACATATTAAGCTAAATGAAAAATGTAAATATGTTTAGGTTGACTATTTCTTTTTCGTGTGCCTGTGTTCCATGATGAGTGTTTTGTTAGTATAGAACCTAACGGGGACAATATATGCAATATAGGCCATTCAGTTATTGTGTTATATTTATAAAGCTTTATACATATTTTAAATACCAAATTCTAAATTGTCACTTAATTCTATTGTTCCTTTCGGTTACCCGTCCTGGTTTGTTGTGTTTCTTTGATAATATATATAATACTAGCTGTGCCCGCGGTTGCATCCTAATATCCTGATGTAGAAGCTATATTAGTGTAAGTTTAATTAAAATCCGTTCCGTAGTTTTTGCGTGAAAACGTCACACACATCCATTCATCTATCCAACCATACTCACAAACGTTCGCGTTTATAATATTAATAACATATGTTTCCTGGTTTTCTTTATCGCCCACAGTACCCTTGTGATGTGATAATGTGATTGGCCTACCTTTGACGAAGGAACAAGACTACGTAGAAGCTACATTATCCTTCTAGTTATTTTTATTAGGGATGTTATGGATATGAAATTTCGGATACGGATAGGTTTCGGATATAGGAATGATTATTATACCGGATATGAAATTATTTCGGATTATCCATTAATTTCGGATAATTTCGGTTACGGATATTAATATTTTAAGGAATTTCATAAGTACAATGCAAATAGCTAATAAAATTTACATAACATGTCTCAGTTAAGTTCCGCCTCTATCCGAAACTTTTATTTCAAATTCGGTTACGGTTACGAATATTTTTTTATATCGGATATCCGATAGTTTCGGTTATGGTTACGGAGCTCCCTAACATCCCTGGTTTTTATTCAGTTTTCTATCCATGTGTAGACATATTGTGTATGTGACATTGTGTATTCTGTGGTTTCTCTTTGATAAACGAGATATTGATCAACACTTCATATCTCCAGTATTGGGTTGCATTCTATTATAATAATAAATAAATATATTATAATATTAATTAATAAAGCAAAGAAGAAATATTTTGTCCCCGTGACAATGTATTTTTTAGCATTTCTCATTTCATAATCTTTGCAAATAAAATAGAATTCGAAAATTTATTATGTTATTTGTTACTAGCTGTACCCGCAACTTCGTCCGCGTGGAATTTAACTTTATTTTTCTAAAGTAAAACTAGCCTACGTTACTCCTTATTATATCAGCTACCAA